AAGGTTTTGTTTTTTTTTTTTTTTGAAAGACCAGACTAATGTAATTGTAGATGCAATGAGATGTAACTTGAGCAAAGCTGGGTAATTTTGCAGCTCATGTCCTGCATATCAGAAAGCACAAAAGTTTTTGCATGCTTTCAAATTTTTCTGTTTTTACCCTCAAAAATATAGAAGCAGTGCAATCTGAACAAAGTTGCTCATCCCTTTCATCCATTGATTTTTGCAGACCTTCTGGTTTTGTCTGACTTGAAATATTAAAATGATACAAGCAGACCTTATCCTAAAACTCAACTGCAGCAAATATTCTCTTGGAATTGTTTATCCCTTAGACACATCCAACATCCCTGATTCCAACTTTCCTTTTATCTCAGCAGGGGGAGCTGCTTGAGTGAGTTTACACTTCAATTTAATTGTTTCCCAACTAGGTAAACACTTGGCAGCAAACAGTGTGTTTCATGCATTGCCAAGATTGGTACAACATCCTTCAAATGTTGTCAGAAGTTCCACTGCTTACTACAACACGGGACTGAAATTCACAGCGGAACAAGCAATATATCCCTCTCACATATTTCCTGCCCTCCTTTACTCTTATCTTACCTACAATGTAATCTCTTCAGAGTAGCATCTGTCTTTATTTCCAGTTCTGCATGATAACAGGTTAACTTCCAAAGCTTAATTATTAATGAACTCCGTTAAAGTGAAACTTCAGCAGGAGGCACACAGGACTAGAAAGGCTGGATTTTCTCTAAGGAGACCTACATGAAACTTTGAACATACCATCCTACAAGCTATTTACAAAGCCCTATTTTAAGCAAGCATTCACAAAAACAAACACCATTTGAGTACATCTACACACCTGCATATAGAACAGCTGAGAGTTTGAAACATTTAACAGAAGCCCTCTATCTTCAGGGAACTATAGTAAGTTCGCGGCTTTTAGCCATTTCTACTGTTATTTTTCCTTAGGTACATAACCAGTCTTTTATGAGGAATACTAGAAAAGCAGCACCATCTAGAGGTACTAAAACCACACTGTAGGATTTTCAGAGCTGTGAGAAAAACGGCATGGACAATAAGTGAAACTCCCAGATTAAACTCTTTTTAAAATAGTGGTATGACAATAGCGGGTTTTTTCTTTGTGTTGTTTGTTTTTCAATTCAGAATGAACATGAACATGGGAAAGTCAGGCATCTGCAAGCTTATATATAGCAGATATATTTATCTTTTATAGGTATATGATAGCTTTTTTTTAAAAAAAAAACATTATGAACTTGTGAAAACATAACATGAGAAGGAAAAACTGCATTATAAAAAAAAAACACGGGGTCTTTGTATTGGTGTAAATAGCACGCACACTACAGTGCTCTCTCACCTTATCCCATTACTTTCACCCTCATCCTATGAGCAAACAGCCCATAACTCGCCCCTACTGTTCTTTAACTTCAATCTCACACACCCTCCCACAGATCATCTGCCTGGCACAGCCCCAAAGCCTTCACGTTGCATGGCTCTCCTACTTCCCTTACCCAATCCTGTGCTCAGCAGAACAGCTCACCCACCTACCTCCCAACATCCCCCCATTGCCTACTACTCTCAAGCTCAGAGCTGCCAGCCATGCTACTCTCCATCTTCACAGCCACATCAACACTGGGTACTTAAGGAGCTTGTAAGTTTCATTCACCACTGGCATAAAATTTTGCTGCAGTATGACTACTTCACCATTGCTTTCCGACTCCTTTCATGCCTGTGTACCTACAACAGAGTTAAAAAAAAAAAAAAAAAAAAAAAAAAAAGACTGACTGAATACAGCGATTCTAATTTTAAACGTATGGATTATCATTTAAAAAAGTAGTAATTCTGTTAAAAAAATGAAAGAGGAATTTATTACAGACACTGCAAAGGAATCTATGTTTCTTAACTTAGCCAGTTGCAGTGTTTTCATTCATTCAGTTTGCTACCTGGAGATACCTGCTTTGGGCAGTGCTGCCCTTTACTTTAAGGGATAAACACTTGCAGGTATTTGAAAAAGAATGTTTTATCTCCTCTTTCCATTTTCACTCTGAATTGCCTCAAGGAATTTTTCAATTTTTTTTTTAAAGATCTATGTAATTGCTAGCAGATATCCATGGCTCCTTTATCTCCTACCAAATCCAATTGGAAAGTGTGTAATCAAGCTAGAACAGATTCGTGCCCAAAGAAACAAGTACTAATAAGCCTGTAGTCACATAGCCTTCAGATGTGCCAGGGTTGGATCTGCAAGCTTGTGTTCTGGTCTGTTTAAACCACAGGAGGGCAGAGTGAAACGCATGATAAATATAACCCTTTCTCCACACACAGAAACTTTCTTTATTAACCTGAGAACCCTGGTAGCCACATTACCTATTCAACTCAAGCTCCATAACTCTTGAACAATCAAACTGTACACAGCATGCCAGGTGCAGTCTCACCTACTTTTTTCCTAATCTCTACCAGTCATGTTCTCTGATACCTTCTAGGCCACATTTTCCATCATTTCAATATACTTAAATTCATAGCCATGTCTACACACTTCATTTTCAACTGAAGACCTCCTCAGATAAATATTTTTCCCTAAAAACACAGTTTGCTATTGAATTCCATCCCATCTTTGTTATTAGTATGTCCTATGCTGTTTTTCCCTACTATTTTTTCCTCCAATGTTTATATCATTTACACTCTCCTTTGTATTGAGCATTCATCATTAATCAAAATATGACATTATGAGCAGTCCACATTACTTATGTAACTTTGCCAGCACCTTTCCTCCAATATGGCAGTACTACTTATATAACACTCCTTCAACTGGGTCACTATACACCTTTAATTCTCATATTAATCCCCCTCTTCTCTAGCTGAAAAAGTAATTTCCCATGCATTAATGAACCTTCCAGTTCTATCTAGGAAGTTAAAAACTTCAGGCTACTAAAGAAAAACACAATTATAATGAGCAATAAAATAAGAACCAGAACTTACATATTCTGTATAAATACTTTATTACGTAAAAAAAAAGACAACTTACATGGATAGATGCTCTGTTAACACGAATTACAGGTTTTCATGAGAATACTGAAATCCTTTAAAGAGCACTTTAGAATGCTTCTTTCCTCTTTTACAGTGATGCATTAGTTAGGAACTGGTATCAAGCAGAAAATACTGCTACCTAGCAATGGTTGGTGCTTCAAAAATGCTATGATAATGCAAAAAAAAAAAAGGAAGACCCTATAAGGAATCAATATCTGGATTTAGGGTTTGGGGCTTTGGTCCTCAGGTCAACATAAAATGGCAGTTATGAAGACAAATATTCAACTCATTAACTGCACAAACCTTTGCAAAAAACATCCCCTTTAGATGCCAGTTGGCTCTGGCAAAGATTCTCCATTTTACTTCATATTAGAAATAAAAATGGAACAGAAAAATGGAAATAATGTGAATTCCTGGAGGGAAAAAAAAAAATCGTCATCAGAATGCCAGCTCATTCAAGAAAAGAACAACTTCCAGAGATTACCTGCTTATGCTGTAGTGCACACCTACATGTATGTGCTCAATGCAGTGCTGACATTTTGAAGTCGTGTAAACATTTCATCTTCCTGCAGACCAAATCAATTTTGTTGACTATTATTATTTTAAAGGAATATTTTTCTTCTGTCAAGACCTTGAAAATATACTACAAAAACTAACCAAAGCACAACAAAAAAATATGACTGTAATGGTTAGCTACATAAAATCTCATGTATACCATTTTAACTGAAGCATATTATTTCATTCATAACTTACCTTTGCCATTTTACAGTCAGATGTGAATAGAAAAATGTAATTTTAAATACCGAGTGGCACAACTTTTATCTTGGCACATCTGAATATCTATGATTATCAGTATGTAAACTGCCTCACAAACAACAGTCAAAGCCTGACATGTAAACAGTTAGTTATACATTATCATATAGATAATATCATGTTAGGATAGGCAGGTTTGAGTGTTGCTGAAGGCACAACATGGTCCCAAGGTATAAGGTTTCTCCCAGAAAGAGAACGTAAGGTTAGTGTACAGAGACATGAAAATTTATCTGAAGACTGAAGTTTCATCTCTGTTAGCTGTTACAGAAAAAAAATAAAGCAAAAACAGAAATATTTCTGTTGTCCACACTTCATATTGGACACCAGGAAAAAAAAATTAAAAGCCTTCAAATACCTCAGTAGTCACATTCCCATCCTATAGCACGCGTGTACCTGTCTATGAGCTCAGCACACTACAATGGGAAGTTTCCAGTTCTTACTGTTGAAGAACTGTGAAGATATTTAATAGTATTTCCATTAAATGATAAAAATGTAACAACTTTTTCATTTTTCTTATTTACAGATGATTTTGGCATAATAATAGTTAGAACAGTGAAAGTGGCTTGTGCTAATCCACTCAGCTTTTCTTCGGTGATAAGACAATGTCTAGGTCCACAACTCTACAATGGATTGTTTAAACTTCATGGTTTTGTTGTTGTTGTTTTTTTTAAGGAAATCATATGGTAATATTTTATGGACGCTGTATTTAGATAAACTGTAAATTGTTTTTGAATTTTGAGACTAAAATTGATGCAAATTGTATTTTTTTCAGTCCTTACATTTCATACTATTGTGTTAATATTTTAAATACATGTAATGTAAATGTTTTTACAGACAAGAGAAAATCACCTCATTTTTAACGTTATGCAGAAATTTTTAAAGAACACACTTGGAGGACAAAAAACAAAGACACAAACTCCTAAATGCAGCTAATACCACATAACAATTCTTTTGCTCTCTAATAACTCACAAGAATAACTGACTTTTACTATAAAATAGTGTAATAAAATCACTGAATGACAAAAACATGTCTTGAGTTTTACTTTTTTTTTTTTTTTTTCTTTTTCCAATGCACGTGCTGCTACAATTTGAAATACAAGTAGGAGAATGCCAGTGCAAGAAGGAACTGTTTAGCATGTATTTTCAAACGCGTAATTTTCAATTACAAGAGAGGTAACTTTTGTTATGTGCTGCTAGGTACAAGGCAGAACATAATACTTGGTCATATTGTAAAGAAACTACAAACCAGAAAACATGTTACGATCAAACGTCCATTAGATGCAAGCCTGTTCCCCTGAAAGTCACACAAGTATTTCCAAAATATCTCAGTCTCACTTTCTGTCAGAAAATCTCACATTGATGGAGCCTCCAGGAGTCAGAAGTCCATGGGTTTTCGCGTGAACTGGTTCAGTTTTGGGAGAAATTTTAATCTCAAAATTCTGAAGCAACTGTAAAGACAAATAAGGCAAATATTAGAAAACCTGCAAAATCACAGATGAAGAATAGATGAAAACTTGGGAAAAGAAAATGTAAGAGACTGTCACAAGCAGTATCTCAGCTGTCAGTTTCATCTTCCTCTCCTACACAGCATGAGTACTGTGATCCTTACACAAGAGAAACAAATGGTGCAAAGATAATAGCTTAAAATCTTCATCGTCTGATTAAAGAAGACTCTCAAAAAAATTAAAATGAAATAAAAAAAAAAAAAAAAAAACTGAGATCAACTCTTTCTGGAGAATTTCAACAAGATTAGGTTAAATCATCCGAGCTTTCAAAGAAACTGAAGTATCTTTCAAATCTTGTGAGCCTTCCTCTCATGATTTTTTTATTTTACCATAAATCAGTATATGCAACTATAAAACACATGAACAAAAAACAAAACCTGAGTCAGGGACAATCTGGTGCACCATAATCATAATAATAATCATCAAGAAGTAGGATACAAAAATCTCTCCCGAGTAGAACCAGTACAATTCAACCACACAGGCTCTCTGTGCATTACAACTTTTGTTCCCATACACTTAATGAAAGTGAGAGAACCAAAAACTCATCTCTTTTTTTGAAACAAAAATCACAGAAATAGTGGGCTAAAACAAACTTCAAGACATTTAGCCCACCTTACTTTGGAGTTGAACGTGCAATACTTCTGGTACATATATATATTTCAACTATTACAAAGGAAATACTGTAGCATTCTCAGCCTCTTCTCCTAGAAATCAAGCTATCTTCTCTCAGCCCTCTCACAATAAGAACATGAAACAATGCATTACTTTCATATATATGAAGTACATTTTAACTGTAGATAACAAGTTGAATTTTCCTGTTTTTCAGGCCTTTCATTCTTACTATCCTCCCCTTCTTCCAATTTGACTGTACTGTCTTTAAAATGCAATGCAGAGTCATCTTTTTAACTCATATTTTACACTGTTAATGAAAATACCAACCTAAACTAAATGCAAGACAGTCTCTTACAGAATTTGAATACAGCATTTTCTCAGTTTAACAGCTTTTTTTTTTTTTTTTTTTTTGGACAACTACTGCCTCCAGCTATTTTTTTTTCAACCAGCTCTGCATGTATTTTATAGGTACGTCCATCTGGGGAAAAAAAAACTATTAATTTACTTGCAAAAACAATACATAGGACATGTAAGAAATATTTTCTGATGTTAGAAAATATGACTTTCTCTATATCCACGGCACTAGATTAATAACCAAATCAAGAAAAGAATTGAGAACTATCTAAGAAATTCTCATTTGTCACCTTCATGCTTCACGTGTTTCTATTTTTGAACATCTTCAGTATTTCTGTGCTTGTAAATAGATCGTGTGGCATTTTGTTCTGCTTTCTTTCCAGAAAACAAAACAAAGATCTTTACAACTTCCTTGATCCTCTTGTTCAAAAAGCTGCAACTGTGTTTTTCTTTATTCAGTCCCGAGACTTATTTCACTCTGAGTTCCAAAAGATAGATGCTATTTTTTATTGAGCTTGCTCTAGATATTTACCTGAGGAAATTTTAAAGGCAAATTTAATCAAGTTGTGCTTTGAATAGATGTCACGTCTAACTACCGTTATGGCTAAGTATCTCCAGATAGCTTCTAAATCCTCGTGTTATGATGCACAATTTGTCTCAATATTTGAGTTAAAGGTAAATGACAAGAGAAGTGCAGCAGCTGTTAGAAAAGCTACAAATATTCAAATGTACTTTGCATTATGTTAACCTGTATATAAAATGATGGTACAGTTAGAAGAAGGAAGGAGAAAGGACAGAAAACATGGAATACAGAGAACTCAGTAATTTAATTTCACTGTAATAACACAATGTTCAGAAAAAGGATATAAAAAATGTTTCAGCTCTTAAGTATTGAGTGTATTGCAAAGTACTGCAGCTGAGCAGGTAACTATCCTAATATACATTAGGGAAATTTTTCATTTTGCTTAAAATAAGAAAACCTTCTGTGCTAAACCCATACATTTCCTGAATAATCTTACATTTATTTTCACTTCGGTTCACTACAAAGAATTTTTCATCTGCAGTGCAGTTTAACTAGTATGCTACACTTCAAGCATTATCATTTGCAATCTCTTTTGAAGGATGAGTGTTTGACAACACTCCAACACAATACTTTTGTGCACAATAACATATTGAGAAATGGTGCATAGAAAAAAAAAAGAACCATAGCAATATATTTTTCTTCCTGTAATGCGGTCCCACATTTCTAACCTGAATCAGTGCAAGATGAATTTCCAGTTCCGCAACTCTTTTCCCAATACAACTTCGAATGCCATAACCAAAGGGGATGGAACCAAAATTGTCAACCCTGTCCAAATTATCTTTCCTCAGCCAGCGCTCGGGCCGGAACTCATTGGCCATTGGAAAATTCTCTTCACTGTATGAAGTAGTATAATGACAGAGTGCCAGCTGCGTCTAAAGAAGGAAATGTTATTTGTATATAACCAACTCCAATGCGCATTAAAAAAGAAAACATTTGTAAGTAAGTAAATTCAGATCTTTCAACAACGGAAATACATGGGCAAAGTACTAGAAAACTAACAAAAATAATGAAACGCTTGTTCTTTTAAATTAAATCCTAACATTTCAAAGAGGCATTATCAACTCTCTACCCGCAGACTATCAAGAAAAGTTAAAAGTTAAACGATAAGTGGGTGAGGAACCAAGTCTGAAAAAACAATGGCAACAGGTCAATTATAAAGTCACCTTTTTGTCAGATACACAAGCATTATACTAGTATTTTATCCTTAATGCTCTAGGTTGGTGATTTTAAATTAATGAAGTGCAAGTAACTGTAACAGATCACATCTCATATACAGAAATTAAACTAAGAATCACAGAATGACCTGGGTTGGTAAGGACCTCAAAGATCACTGAGTTTCAACCTGTCTGCTATGTGTGCAGGGTCACAAACCTCTAGATGCTACATCCTCCAGAGCTACATCCAGGGATGGGACATTCACAACCTCTCTGGGCAACCCGTTCCAGTGCACCACTGGAGTTCTCTCCAGAAAACTGCAACAGAACCTACAGAACAATACCTACCCCTTTAGGTATTAAGTATCCTCCAACAATCAAGTCTTTCTGGGTCACTCTTCCATTTCCTGGCAATACAGGATATAACCTAGAGACAAATATTTAAAAGTCTTTCAAGAGCAGTAATTAATACAACCTCAAGCATTCGGTTTCCAATACAATATACAATTCAGAGGACAAAGAGTTTTTTGGGTTTTTTTAAACGTACTGATAACCTTGGAGATAAAAAGATCCTGAAGCATTTGTGAGAATATCATTAATACCAAAGAGAAGTTATTTACAAGTAACTAGAAGTTGAGCTGTTTGCCCTATATGATTGCTACACATATGTGCACATACACAAGCAGTTGTTCAAGCTGCAGATATTTTTTACAATACAGATTGCTGGAAAATGCTCGTTGATGCATTGTGCAAAATCCTCTTACTTCTCTCACCTTGCTATGAACATTTGGTATAAATGTAAAAAAAAAAAAAAAAAACCAAACAGTTGTGTCACATGCCTTCAATTTAAGACAAGAAGCTTAAATTGGCTGTAGTGGCACTACAAAGTACCACTTCGTAGTGCAGGGGGTTGAGGGGAGTAGGTTGCTACAGTCCTACATACAGAATAATTAAATGCAAATCTCAAGTTTTCAATTATCTTAACAGACATGTCCTAAATATTCAATACTACTTTTACTATACTGGAAAGGTATTTAACAACTATGCAAACTATCTTATCTCATTGCTTGGGTATCCTTGGACACAATACTGCCACAGTAAGTAAAAGCAGAAGGAGAAAACAGCAGTAAATACTAACATAAATATTAACACAGACTCAAAATTCCTTACAGCCACATGAAATTACTTTTCTTAATCAACAGTTGATAAAACCCTTACCTCAGAGTCTCCTTCAGCACAGCTCTAATCAAAGGCAATTTGGGAACATCACGAGCAACAGGAGCTTGGTCTTTCCCCAGCTTATCGATGATTTCCTCATAAACACGTTGTTGAACTTCAGGGTGCTTTGCCAACATATATATTGCCCAGGACAAAGTAAAAGAAGTCTAAGAAAGAAATCACTACCATCAAATCCAACAGGAGTAGATTAAAGCTTCAAGTCAAAAAAAGCAATGAATTTTCAGCTGTGTGGTTTTTTTGTGTGTGCGTGTGTGTTTGCAGTTATAAAACAGACTGGCAATGACTAACATCTGGATTCCATGGGATGTTGTCAGGCTTCACCACCCCCACCATCAGTCTTTTTGCACCTAAAAATCCTCTGCATATCAAAACAATCCATGCTGATATTTTCCTAGTAAAGTGTTAAATATCAACAGAAAAAACAAATGCAAACAAAACTACATAAACAATATTGAAACATCAGCACACTCTGAACAGCAACAGATCAATTTTTTTTTCAGTGTTTTCAGTGTTCCACCTTTCCACCTAACTACAAATTTAATGGGAAACAGGCTAAGAGAATACTGCTCAAAACACTACCGACCAATTTTAAGCACAGAATAGTCTGTTCACACCATCCAGAAAACACAACTGCTATTACCACAGTAAACAATGCCATACCACAAGAAGTGTCTTCTACATCTTGAAAATTCCCACCTGAAGTTCTGGAAATGTTTTATTTTGGGCTTGCATTTAAGAGAAATTCAGAACGCACATTCATTATAAAGGGAACCTTTAATGTCCAAAGTTTGAACTGGGATATAACACTAAAAGAAATTCTCAGAAACTTTCTTCTCCTTGTAATACTGAGCGACTTGATCACCCCTTGCTAAAATACAACCCTATCCTATTCTTGTAAGAGCTCAGAGCAGCTGGCAATTCTGCCAACTGCATGCAAAACTTCCTGTGATGTAAAAAGTCTCTTCCCAGGTTCCCAGCTTCTTCATAACCACTTAAAAATTCTAGGGACAGCCAAAATGCCCTGCAGCCAAAAGCTGCCTTACGATTTTGTTGAAAGCTTTTATAATCTTCTAACCCTCCAGTTTCTATGACAAAAGGAGCACTGAAATGACAGCAGAACATTGGAAAAAAAAGTTCCCTTGTACTAAGAAATGAGGAAATCACAAGCATTGTCCTCTCACAGAATAATTGTTGCCAGCTGAGAAAACTGGGTTCAACAGGAACAGAAACTCTCACTGGCATGTATTTGAATGCTGTCCTTTTAATGTAATGAAAACTTTCTTACACACTAGAAATGGAAAATTAAGAATCTGAAAGACCAGAAAATGAATAAGTAACTGTGTTTTACTGAAGAGCCAGACATCAGAAAGCTCTTTAAACTCATAAATCCTTGGGATATCTAACCAACAGATCAGTCTTCAACATATAAATAAGCATTACATACGCTCTTTATTTTGGAACTCAAACGTATTACTATTGGGTTGGTTTTTTTGTTTTGTTTTGTTTTCCTTAGAAACCTCATAAACTTTCTTAAACCAAAAAAATCTGCATCCAATTATAAAGCTTTTTCTTTAAAAAAGTTTTAAAAGTTACATTTCTACTTAATCTTTTTTACCTTATGGCTATTAAGCACAATCCAATATAGTACCTTATTAAATTCTTTCTTTTTAATGTGTTTACAGTATTTTACAGTAACATTGTTCATTGATATTCCATAAAACACCACATGCATTATATATACAGTACAGTAAACTTTTACCTTTATATTCTCATTGTCATGCTGAAGCTAATACATTGATTCCCCATAACAGGGCAGAGAGAAAGGGAATACACATACATGACTTTAAAGTTTCTTCAAATACTCAAGAGGACAAATGCACCACTCAGTCTAGCTTAGCCCACCCAAGTGTTTTTTTTATTAATGTAACATACCTTGTACTCCAGCCTCAGTAACACTGACTCCCATCTGCAGAGCTCTTTGTCTCAGTCTGATTGAAACTTACCAGTACAAAAAAAGAGAAAAAGTGAATTCACACCTTCCTACATCAGTGCTGGCCTTATGGATTTCAGCAGAAACGAGGTGTTTGATCCAAAATGAGTGTACCAGTTGGCTGCAACTCGTACATGAAAAATCCTTTACCAAATCCTACATGTGAGTTTACTGATCAATTATTCACACTAACTTGTGTCAGTCTCTGTACTGTGGTCTACTTAAAAAAGCACAGACACCAGTCTGAGATCCAAAGCACAGAAAGAAAACGTATAAAATTTGAAGTGAATGTGAAGACAAGTGCCATTTTGTCCATCTAACAAACTGTGGAACTGGTGGGATCCTGTAAACTGCAGCTAGAAAAGAACTTCATTGACTTTGTTACTTTTCTGTCATATGAAAGATATAATGATATAAACGTACCAGAAATAATGCCCTTAAAAACAGTGTACCTTCCCACCCCACCCTCATACTCCTAAAGGAAGATGTGAAAGGTACAGTGTGCACAAGAAAAGTGATAGCAAGCTTACTGTGTCCACTCCTGCCAGAAGCATTTCAGTCATATTGGCATAGATCTCCTCCAAAGTAAGCTCCTTACTCACGAGGAGGTAGGTAAGTAGCCCACCATTCACTTCTTCTCCTTGATCCAGTTGAGACTGAATAGACTTCAGTTTGTTGTCAACATGAATTTGACCTTTGGGATTCAAAAAAAATTGTTAAGCTTCTGTTTTTATTTCTCTTTTGTTTCGGTTCAGTAAAGACAGTTCTTTCTTCTGCTATGTAGCCCCAAACAGATAAAATGTTTTTATCTATTTTCTAGGTGCAAAGATAAAAGAGCAGTTAGTGGTGCAGGTCTCCTTGGGGACTCACAGTGAGGAAAGCCTGAACTGGCAGAAACAACCTAGCTCACAGCATGAGAACACTTAGCATGGGGAAAGGACACAAGATGCAGATTCTGACTGGGGGCAGAGGAACCTCAAGGTTGAGTTCTATGCCCACTGAAGTGGCTTGTTTTCTGATGACTGCAAGAAATGGCAAACTGCAGAATGATGCTGCAGCTCAACATACAGCAGCTGTTTCACAATGTTAGCAGCAACTTGGAGGTCAAAACTACAGAACTGAATCACAATGAAGACAAAGATGAGGGGCATCAAGCGATAACAAAAACTGAAAAACTTCAGTGAATGGTAACTCCTGAATTATTTTACCCATATTCCCATACATACTTGGCTACAAACAGCATCTTCAGTGAAACAAGTGCTTCAAAGGAGAAAACTCCTCTGGAAGTTAATGTCTCACAGCATGAGCTTACAAAAGGACATGAACCAACTTACTCCCTTACAAAACCACACAAACGCACACATCACAGTGAGTTTTACTGTTCAATTCCTCTTTCACAAAGAACTTAAAGGAAGAAGCTGCATAACAAATTTTGCATGGAACAAATTCCTCAAGAGCAGATTCATCTCTGCTCTAGGGATAAAGCTAAAATCTGATGTTGGTTTTAACCAACAAAAGGGAACAACTCTTTTACAGAAAACGCACCTATGCATTAAAAAGATTCCCTGATGCTTACTGTAGTACTGCTCAGTACATGCAAGCAGATCAAAAATGAAGAAACCCAAGAATCTGCTCTCAAGGTAATCTACACAGACATACCAAGGCAAATACTGTTAATAAAACAAATACAAAGATGCATGCAGCTTCCTAACATTAGAGACAGAAAGAGGGCTCAGGGGTTTTAAGTGCTGCAGAATAAGACAGTATGCTACAGGGATAACTCCTCTTTTCTTAATTCAGATGACTGCAACTTTATGAACCAAGCTGCAAAGAATGTTTTATTTACAAAAAACATACTGCAGTACAGCGGTATATTTCTATGCCAGCTTCTGTGCTTATATACATGTATATACACACACTTCACAATGAATTCACTTTTTTTAATTTCTAGTCAGCTTTAGTGGCCATCATTCAGAGTGCCTGAATGAAATCTTGCTGAAGTCAACAAAAGTAATTATCTTCATCAAAATTTGAGTGGCTTAAGGTAAAACATTTGCAGAGAACTCAGACCTTGAGTGAAGACAGAGTACTGGAACAGATGAAGACAAAAGAAAAAAAACATGGTAACATGGGGTATATTTAAAGCACACTAGAAACATTAATTCTTTTTAAACAATACATTTTCTCGAAAAATTGTTCAATACAAAGCTTACTCTCACATTCTATGCAGATCCAACTAATATCAGAAATTTCTTGATATACAGCCTAAACATTTTGTTCAATTTCTCCATAGGTATTACTCTAATAATTATTTAGTATTTCAGATGGAGTTTTGTTGTATTATCACAGCATTTCTTCTGCCTCCTTTAAACTGCAGAAGAGAAATTTATGAAGTCCTGTTCAAACACACAAAGCACCTGCAGAAATACAGTGAAAATTTTTCTACTATTAAATCTTACTAAATTTGAAGAGTCCATCCCAGGATCTGCAGAACTCTCTCCAGGGTTTTGGAATAAACGGACGAAGCCACCTGGGAATGGCACCTGCATACATTGTGGTCTTAAACATACTGAACATCAACTCCAGAGCCTCGATATATTCAACGGTCTGCTGTGGGACGTTGTTTTCCAGGCAGCCCAACCTGCATTCATACAGAATAGTAGCCACACCTGCACATATGAGATCAAAGAATTTGCTATTCACTTGCATATACACACATTAATAAGCTGAGGAATTTGAATTCTAACACAATGGAACTGCCTTCAAATACTCATAGTTATTCTCACTGCAGCTGTAAGTGAATAAAATATTAAAATACTTAAAAAAAAAAAAATCCTAGCTAGATATTGACACAGTAGCCATGTCTTTCTGCAATAACATTTAGCATGAGAAGATATTCAGGAATCACAAAAGAAGCAGAGCAGCCCTCCAGCATGTTTGCTGTTTTTCCCACTGTACCACAAATTCTAAGCCTGATAGTCTCTCCTCTGAGCACATAGGGAGATATAAGTCCAAAAATATTTCTGGTAACTGGTGATAATGCAGGAATTTCTAGTAGTGCCTTTCGTGATCCTGATAAGCTAGTAGTAAATGGATAATTAGTACACATGAACAGATAACGAGCACATACTGCACTACAGTGATTTCACTGCACACCATATAAATATATTCCACTTGGCCCTGAAAAACAGCAGCTGTCAGACAGCAGTGCAAATGACAGGACTAACTGCTGTTCACAATTTACTATGATTTTCTCACTTGCATTTTTGCAGTATTGTAGTGATTGCCATTCAAAGTCTTTTTCACCCCCATCTTTCTTATTATTAATAGATACAATAAACATGCTTAACTCCTGTTCTGCCCTCCAAAGACCCCATGAATCCTCAAGAATATACAGAGAGATACAGAAATTTTCAGCAATTTCCATTTACTTCTGTTTTTGTTGGGGTTTTTTTGGTTTTGTTCTGTTCGTATTTTTTTTGTACACGTTTTTGTTTTTTTTTTTTTTTTTCCTTCATATTTCTTCTTTTCTGACAAAAATAATTGCTGAATCTGGTTATTTTCACATATTTTTCCTTCCTTAGCTTTCCTCCCTCTGGAGATATTTTGATACGCCTTTTATTTCTCCCAGGCATCTTTCAACAACTGCCAGCTCATATGCATTCTTTTATTGTTTAGATAGTCTTTTTTTTTTTTTTTTTTTTTTAAATCTGACTTATTGGGTTCCCTGAACAATTGACAGTGAGTGAAGTCAAAAATGCAGTTGATATAAGAAATAAACCATGTGTGTCAGGCACATAATAAATGAAAAGCTAAAAGAACGTGAGGAACTTTAACCTACAAGTTGAAGTGAATCTTTAAGCTCAGAGTTTAAAATCTCAAAATTTGTAACTCAGTTGAATACCTTTGTAGACATTACTGATGTAGAACAGATTTCAATTATTTTTGCCAAACAGACAGCTATTTGATGCAGCATCTTGAGCTATTTGAAAGTTTTTGCAAAACTCAAGCTCTTCAGCTGCATGTCTGCAGAGTGCCTGTGTTTTTTAAAGGTGTAACATATAACGAGATCAGATCATAAGAAGTCAGTTAAAAGAATATGTGAAACCCATCTCACCATTAGATCTCTGAAAGAAAACACAAAATCCCATACTAGCTCAGGGTGAAGTTCAATCTAGCACAACATCATCTCTCTATTGTTTGCAAGTGCCAGGTTATTCTAAGGCAAGCATAACAATCTCACACTCGGGGTGTTGTAGGCAGGGAAAAACAGTGCCTTTTCTCCCAATATACAGTGAAGAGAATTTAGACAGATCACGCCATGATTGCCCATCTGTAATTTGGCCAGTGGTGTATTAAACTGACACATCTTAGAATTCAAACTGAGAGAAGGTTTACACTTCTGTTCTTGAGATGTAGATAGAAACAAGGAACACTGGAAAGCAGCTGGGGCCTTCACCATGCATTTTGCCTATACATCAGTGTTTCCACAGTAAGTGTTACTTAATACAAAGTATCTCTTTGGATTGTACAAAGCAATTCTACCAATATCCATTTCCCTAAGCTGGGAGAGATGCATATGGATGCAAAATATCAGTCTCCATTAATCACAATAAGGTAACAGTAACTTATGACAAAAATAGCTAAATGCAACCACGTTGCTTTGCATTAACTCTTCTTCGTGGGTGTTACTCAGCCAAAACTTACCTTCCATTGAGTACTTGAAGAAAAGATTATTAACATTGGTCACAGTTTCCCCATCCTCCTCTTGACTTCTAAGGGTGTAGATTCTTTTAATTAAATCTGTGATAACTTCATTGACTCCTCCGGAGTAAATCGCCACATCTTTGGGTTTCAGAATTTTTTGCCTCAGTACACTTCTCATTTTTAGCCACTGTTCCCCCTCTCTAGAAAAAAAAAAACATTAATAACATCTATACAAAATTATTCTTAACAACCGCTAGCTCGGTAAAAGCTGTCATGATGATCATTTATGTTTTTGAGAAGAAAAATCAAGTAGTGAAATGAAAACAGCGGAGGTATAACATTCTCAGTATTTTGTGCCTACATTTTTACTTCATACTTCCTGTACATTTGCAAGCTTTCCTTTAGCTGAGGTATGTATTGAAATCTTCTTGAATTTTGAATTGTAACATCTGCATGCTTGATATAAGCAGAGCGACTGGAAACAGTGATTACAAAGATGTCTTTCAACTCCTTCAAAAGACAGCTAATTCTCTTTAGTGACAGTTACTTTGAATTGCAGTGTATTCCCAAGAAATTCGCTCACCTTGAGAAATGCTGCTGTAAGGTACAGAAACTTACTGGCCAGCAGCAAAATTGAACCTCTTTAGTCTCTCTTTGGAGACACTTTCTGAATGCCTCAGTTTAAGCTCTTCTTACACAAAATATCAAGGAACTGCTGGCTTGACTCTGCAGTGCAATCCATATTGCCTTTTGTCACCATGTAAGAAATAGACTGGCTGTGGCTCAGGAAAAGTTTCCCTCTAAATAAACAAGCCATCTCAGTGCCAACTGTGGGCTGCTCCCTGTGGCAGCTAACCACACACCCACACATTCACTGTCAGTTTATTAAAGCTTTAAAGATGGATATCTTTTCTACAGTCTAGCTGCACACAAACATATATCTGCATAGGGATGCACTTCAGTATGGATTTACAATGCAGCGACTTCTGTGCTTTAATACAACGAGAGAGAACTTTGATAAACAATAAAGTGAACCCAAACCAGCATCCACACAACACGCTGCCAACTGGATACAGTCGCTTGGATTTGAAGCAGTAAAAGCATGTTTGTGCAGTGCTATGTCAAAGCCAGTGTGCCCTGCTCCTATATACTGCGTCCAGATAACCAATACCCACAAATGTTATTGTATAAGGTCGCTCATTCCACTGTCAAACTATGCATCACGATCAACTTCCTGAAATTTTACAGCATAATGTAGAAGTCACTAAAAATTAATTCCCTCCTCCCCTGGCTAACCATATGGATATCTACAGGAAAGCCCGAATTCTCAGATGACCTGTACAGTCCTTCAGAAAAGCGATTCAATTTTTACAACAAAACTTAGAAAATGAAGGCATAACAGAACTCACGCTGAAATTAGTCCTGTAGCTCTTCCTCTTAAGTCTCTGTATTCCTGCCATGATTCCATGTTAGCTCTCTGTGGTGCTCTACCTTCTGACCGGAGCACTTGAGCAACCATATCTCGATCTGCAATGGATACAACAAACTGGGGACCAAAGTGAGACTTGAAGATCTTTCCATATTCCTGAGTGTGTTTTTGCTACAACGTCACCAACAAAGAGAAAGAGAAGTAAAATATTACTAAGGAAACTGAGAAGGAAGCTGACAATTTGTCACAGAGTGAGTCAACTTATCACACCTAGGACTTGACTTCTAGCTTTTTAGTCATGGAATGGTTTGAAACATCACAAGAAAGCATTGAAGTATTACTGGGAAAAATCCATAAGGAAAATACAGCAGTCACACTGCCTGAACATTCAGCTCTAAGGCACAAAATTATTGGTGAAATAAACTATCGAAAAGATGGAAGGACATAGGGCATTTAAAAACACATTTATCTTCAGATCAAATACATTAGAATATCTGGGGGAAAAAAAAAAAAAGAGAAAAAAAACAAGGCAGTATGCGAATTTGAAAGTATAATAGAGAGATACCATAAGTCACTTTTAATGCCTTTAATGTACATGCTGCAGCAGTTTACAAAGAAACGTTTATACTTTCTTCCATCTAAACTAGGATAGCAACTATGTAACAGCCCAATAAAATAACATTTTGGGACACATTCATGAGCAGCAAATTGATGACACAGATTAATTCTGAGAAAAGAAGAAAACGTTGAAGGATTATTCCAGCAGAGAAGTTTGTTTAGTGGTTGATTCATGAGTTGTATGATTCAAGCTGGAGGCGAGCAACAGGCCATTAAACATTAAGTGATGCATCACTGTCTGAGGAAATTTAATGATTATGTTCAACAAATTTAATTCCAATGTTGTGAAATGAAACAACTCCCAGGAACTCATTTGGAACAGAGGTTCAACATCATTCTAGGGAAAAAAAAAGTCTGCAAAGGAACAGTCGAAACCATACAGGGACTTAAATTTAAGACTGTTTAAGATCTTAAGGATCTTACTTCTGTTTGAAGCAGCAAAATAAGTTAAACTGCCCGAAGTTTGACACATTACTTTCATCTAATGTAAAGACATCTGCTTGCAGAGTTGTGCTGGTTATAAATCAAACAAGTTCAGTACACTTAAGTTAGTGAAAGTCCAGTTTTGACCAAGACTAATTTATGAGATGTTTTAATCAGTATTGCTCAGAGAGATGAAATGTTCAATTGCCAAAAGTAAATTTAAGACACATGAATCACTTTCTACCATATGATACCAAGTGCCTATAAAAATGTAGTTCTTTTTGCCTCCTTTCCAAACAAAACAAGAGTTGTGCAACTGTGGTCTCTGCCAGTCTCCACTTAACTACTTTTGAAACACATTGGCCAATTTCAGTCAAGTTTAAACAAGCAGTTAAATCTCCTACAAATATATTCTTCCCATTTTCAAAGATCAGCATCTTGATTTAAACTAGACGCACACATTTGCCATTCTGACAAAGGAAGTGCTGCAGTAGGAACTCAACCATGACCACTCCTGCTTGGTCTCCTGTTAACCAAACATACATGCAGACCAACGTATAAATAACAAGCATTCCCAAAACCCAAAGCAGCTCTTGCCCCAGAGGAATTTCAAGGGATATTGAAGCTGAGCATGGAGAGAACTGAGACCATGAGTCTTTAAGGTAGGCATGTTGTGGCACAAATGGTGCAAGGAAAAGGCAGTGGTGTGAGGGGGATACAGGGGGGAAATACCAATCTCAGAATGTCAAGCTCATCAAATTTTGTAGTAGAACTGTCTGTTTTTTCCACTGATTGTGAGGGTGACATAGGAGATTGAACTTGAACAGAAAACAAATTGAGTATCAAGCCGTTCAACCAAATAAATGAAATATCAGTCCTCAAACAAAAATCAACAAGGTATTTGGCCTTCTCTTGCTTTCAGCAGAACGGTGTTCAGTATTAACCTGATGTTTAAAGAAATGCCTGGAATTTCTCTTCCATATTTTCTATCACAACACAGGTTTTCTTTCCCTCATTCCAGACCTTAAAAATATTGCAGTTTAATGACTCACATACCACTCACTCTCACACCATACATTCTTCCATATGTCATAAATTCTGTAAGCATCCAAACCCTTTCCTCTCTCTTTTATTTCCTTTATACTCAAACAGTACTGATGAGACACAAGATCTGATCCTGTCAAATTAGGAATACATTCCCTTTATCATAATTGCTGTAAGCATTGCTTTGGCCAGGACTGACTGGAATCATGTTACAGAGAACAGAACCTCCTTTGTGAAAAGCCCAGCTTTCCCCACCCCTCCTGCATATAGCCTATGAGCATTGCTGCACACCAAAGGATACTGCTTAAGTAGCTCTGCTGGTTACTAAAGGGTTTCAAATTAATTCATTCCTGATGTTCACTGTATTGTTAAATTTAACAGACTGTTATTAAGCCGGCTAATGCCTGCTTGCATGCAGCATGTATGCAAACAGGCCATCTGTGATTTGCAAAGTGATTTCTGAGGCTCCATGCAGAATAAAAACCAGCACCGCTTTACAGCTCCTCCTCATCCTTCCTCCTGCTTTCTTCTCTGTGAATAACATTCAGTGAAGAGGTTTTCTGGTTCAGAGCATACACTATTTACCTATTTTTATATCCATTCCAATACTTTGATGCTTTTGAATGTTCCCGCTTTCGTATTTTCAACAGTGAAATCTTGAATTCAACATGCAAGGTATTTTTTCGGTGTGACGGCATATGGAGAGTGCCTCACAAACTGGGCACTACCACAGCAGCAGTGGAAATAAGAAACGCAGTATAACAAAAAAAAAAAAAAAAAAAAAAAAAAAAAAAAAAAAAACACACCTTCCGCAAATACAATTAAGTTTAATCTGCACATAACTGTTGTTAAGTAATTAAGCTATTAATTCACCAACAGCTCAGATCACAGGGCAGACTGACACTTCTTTTTAGAGATCCAAGTGATAAGCACGCTGCAGTCAAAACTAAGGAACGCGTTTGACTTTTTGTTCCCCGATCTCCTTTATTTCCAGCTCCTTTCAAGCTCCCGGTTTCCAGGTTCTTTAAGCTCTATTCCTGCTGGTTTCCAAAGCTAGACTAAGGGGCTCGCACGCCCAGCCCACGCTGCCCCCTCACGAGGGGTGAGACCGAAGAGCCAAACTAAGGGGTCACCTCTCCGCCCCTACCCTCCCACCCTCACGCCAGGTGACAGCGGCCGCGCTCTCTGAGAAGGACCCGAGGGGACTCTCGGTGTCTCTGCGCCTCCCTCCCTCAGGCAGCTCCCGCCGCCATCACGCCCCGCTTCCCGCCTCCCCGCCCGCGCGCGCCGCTGGGGCCGCCAGAGGAGGGGGCGCGGGCAGGGGTTGGGCAGCGCGAACCGCGACCGTTGGTTCCCCCTCCACGGCCCCTTCGGGGGAAGGTTTCAAACCGCCCGCCTCCCGCGGAGGGGAGGGCCCTGCGGGCGGCCCCTCCGCAGCTGCTGGGGGCCAGGCGCATCCACCGCCCCCTCAGGGGACCTGTAGAGCCGAAGTATATTTACGTAAGGAGAGGCCAGGGTAGAAGCGAGGGGCGGGGAGGAAAAATGGTCTCTGGGCACAACAGGGTGACGCCGGGCTGAGGTGAAGGATGGGCAGAAGCCCCTGCGGGCTGAGGCACCTCAGCCGCGGCACGGCCTCGCCTCCAGGCTGCAGGAAAAGCCTCGTTTCCCAGCTCCGCCGCCAAAAACAAGCGAGCGGGGGAAGCGCGAGTCTTTGCGGCAACCGTGCTCCAGAGGTGCTTCCTTTTCCCTTTCAGAGCCTATGGCACTCAGCTAAAAGCCCCCCAAAAAAGGGGAAGAGTCGAAAGCCTGGGTGTGCCGGCGAAGCGGCCGCCCGCACGTCTAAGGGGAACTGCCGAAGGCGATGCCCGCAGAACCCGAAACAAAAAGTGCTAAACGTCCAGAGCTGAGGGACGCGGAACCGAACGGGGACCTCCTCGCCTCGGCTCTTTCGTAACAGCAGGAACGCGGCGATGCGGTAACGCGGCGATTAGGCAACATTTTGCGAGGGGAGAGAAGGAAAAGTTCGGTAATCCGGAGTGAATAAAGCCCGAAAGAGCCGACCGAGTCGTACCTGGATCTCATGAATGCGGCCGAAGCCGTCCTTCCAGAAGAACTCGTAGAGATTGTAGAGGGTGTTGGGTCCGGGCATTTCGTGCAAACTCTTCACCCTGCCCAGCTGCGGCGAGGGCTCCAGCAGCTCCCCCGGCCGCGCCGCTTTGTTCCCCGCGCCGCTCCGCACCTCCAGGGACTGACTGCCCGACGGCACGGGCGCCTGGTGAAACCTGCTGACAAAAAGCGCGTGCTGGAAGTAAGTCCTCTCGGATTCAAGTGTCTGCTTGCATTTCGTGGTCAGAACTCTCGTCAGGAAAGACATGTCTTAATTTCAGGAAGGTCCACTTTTATTATTTTTCCCCCCCTGCAGCTGCTTTTTATTTGGTTGTTCTTTCTTCTCTGCCTGCTTTAACTTGTACAAGCAGCACTACTCCAAACTCTTACTGCATGAGCATCAGTTTACACAGACCATTATTTAACGCTCCCTCCCCTAGGGCTGGAAAAGGGGGGTGGGTCTGGGATGAGACTTGAATAGAACTAACCTATTATTTCGTATAATTCAAATCAGATAAGTTTGCCCATTAAGCATGCAGTCCAAGTTTACTTTTTTCCTCTTTCCCCAATTGCTTTGGCAAAATCTCACATGTGGGTTATCCCAACTTTCTCCTTCATTACAAAGGCCCCAAACTCACCTTCTTTTCTTCTCCTTCCCCCCACCCTCCCATATGTTAGAAAACAGTATTTTCTGTGAGAAGTTCTCTCAGTATCATTTGTCATCCAAGAACATATATACAGAAACACTGCTACACCCACAGAAAACAGCAATGGTTTTCCCACTGCAATACTACAAGCTTACATTCCTGTAAGTTACAACAACCAGGGATGTTATTTGTATTACAGAGAGGTATGTTTGTGAAGCGATGTACCTTGTGTCAACTTTTGTAGAAAATATCCAGTGCTTTCCAACTACTTGCAATGGTCACCTCAGCTTTTCCTCAATTCAGCTGCACAGGTCTGTAATCACACACAGAGAACTTGAGCTGCAGCCTGTAGATCAGCTTGTTTCACACAATTTCAAAGTCCTTTGTTCTACCTTCATACCCATTTCTATATGCTCATGGAAGTATTTGTGATATTCTGTGAAAACCTCATTAGCTTCAGAAAAGGTGCGCAAGAGATGCAGCTCAGTTACAAGTAGATCAGAAGCTCCGGTAAAACCAGAAGACAGAGGAAAGTAAAAGGCAAGATCCACATTTCTAGAACTTACTTTACCAGCAATTTAATCATGACTATGTTCAGTGAGCTTCTAAGTTATTTGTCTTGTTTTTCCTTTTATTCTCTGTTTTTGTACATTTGTATTTGGGGTCACAAACCAATTAAGATTTGTGTACATGCTTGATTTTATCACTGAGAATAAAGTCTGTGTCCTGTTAGACATCACCCTTAGTAAGCACTGCATTATATGTTCCAGAAATAAAATGCACAGGATAAATAGCATCTACAAAGTATGCACTTGTTTAAGCTAAATTAGCGCCTTTAAAATAGACTTCGTTATGTTTGAAAAGTCCAGAGAAAAGCAACATAAAAAATTAGAAGCTTTTAAAAATGATAAATAGAGGCCATGGAGTTACATCATTTGGTAAAGATGACTGCCAGAAGCATGACAACAGCATACAGATGTATACATCTTCTGTTGAAACGCGTATCAGAAGAAAAGAAACAATAGGCTTAGTTTGCAGCTACAAGTGTCTTGGGTAGATTTTCAGATAGCCTTGCTACCTCATATCTCTGGCTTCTCTCACATTTCAGACTGCCAAGCTACCTCATGAGGTTATGCAGTTGCTCTCACTAACTTTGTAAGAGCAGATTTAATAAACATCTGTTGGGCACAGTCTGGGTGTATCACATTCTAGATTACCTTTGTAGTTTCCCTTTACTGTCTACGTTTATGCCTGGTGTAGCTATGTTATTTCTTTAACATTTGCCTAAAGATGGTTTGGGAGACAATTACTTATAAAATAAATGGTTCTGGGGAAAAATAAAAAAATAAAATCAGGTAGATGTGATGATAAACTTGTTCTGACTTGTACTATCGAAAGGTAAATCTGTGTCTTGCTTACGAACAGTGGAGAAGAAAAAAAACCAAAATTATAAAAACAGGGAATACCTCTTAAAGCAAATAGTAGATGCACTAAGAGAGCTGTAGGAGGAGTTAAAAAGAACAGGAAGATGGACAGTAGCCCTACAGAATGGAAAGGACACTCCAAACTAAATCACCTAGATTGCATTGGCAATATTCTAAGAACAATATCTAAAATATTTAAAGCTATTGAATAACTGATGATGTCCCCAGATTGAATGCCAACAAATAAAACGAAAAGAGCATGAATTCACTTTGCCAGGAACACTGGTATAACTCCATAGCCATACATATTAAAGGTTACAACAGAATTTTAAAAATAAATTAAGATCAGTACTAGAAACTGGGAAGTAAATTTTGTTTTCAAGTTTATGCAGTAGCTCACCAGCTTTAAAAATTGATTTTTATGTTCTAATCTCTAGATTGATGGAGAGAATATAGGCTCCTCCTGAAACTGCTTCTCACATCTTTTAATATGGTAAGTATTTTATATCAGCCTCACACCATTAATATCACAAAAAGTACCTGCTTCTGTTCATACGCTAGTAAGAAACTCAGATATTCTACATACTGTAGGGCTTCAATCTTGCAACTGGCACTAGCTTTCTCCACTTGTATGTTTTTGTAGTTAATTCCATATTTGGGCATTTCCCTCCCCCTACCCTTTATTTCACAATGAATTACCTCTTCCTCACAAAATCAATTATAAGAGAGTTTTTGAAGCCAGCCTACTTGAAAAAGAGTTTCAGAAGCTTTGTTCTCTAAGAACTTCATCAGAACTGTGCCTATTTTTTCTCAGAGGAGTTTCTAGAGGTGGCAGTAGTCCAAGCATAGGAACTATACTGTAAATCCACACTTCTGCTCACACATCTAAGCAGTTTAGCTCATTTTCATGTTTCACTTCTCTTGTTGTGTGTTTGTAAAAAAAAGTCTGAAACACATTGTATTTAAAAAAAGGTAGACAGAGAAAATGCAATTTCAGTTACAGCAGAGCTGAAGAGAACACTAATCGTATTCTATTCACTTCAAAGGAGACTAAACCATAGAACTTGCATACAATATACAATATATAATACCATAAATATATAATATCATTCTATCATTCCGTGACTGCCTGCTATCAAGTTTATCATAATAAATCTAGTTTTAGGAAATGGAAAACAAACGCCTATATATCTCTGCCACCTGGATAGACTTTTTAGTCATTTAAAGATCATGCTCAACATTAGGAAGTCTAAGAAAGGTTCTCCCATTATTCACATGCACACGTATTAATGTCAAAACAAAATGCAGGGAAAAGCCAATGAATTTGATTGTTTTTGAGTAATGTTATCAGCTTTTAAAGAAAAGGCAGAACGAATGTGGCAGAAAGCATTTGATAAAAGAGACCTAAGACATGCCTGTGAGATACTTCCATATCTCCTTACTGTCTTGTAATTTCAATGATTAGGAATTAACAAATAATATCTTAACCCATTTCTCCCCAAATAAAAATACTGAAGAATCTGCTTAGAGGCAGTGGTTGAGTGTAATGCAAATTAATGAAGAAACAGCCATGATGACTAAAATGTCAACTTTCTTGATTATAACAGAAGAGAAATTTAAAGGAAAATTAACAGTGCAATTCCACATATCTGTAAAATGGGCTCCTTTCAGGCACAACTTGACTGACATCCACAGTAATATAATTTTTACTCAGTATACAAGGCAGCCAATAGCTCTGAAGTCGTGTCAGCAAAAACATAGTACCAGTAAGCCTAAGAGGCCTGCATACCATAGCTTGTAATAACAGAAGGCTCACAAAGTAATTTATAACAAAATAAAAAAGTTATAATATTATCTTATAAATATATTTGGAACATGATAGATATCTGTTTCTAGGAAGTTTGTTGAACGGAGTAGAAATGAAGAGCTGCTAGTAGATACAAGTTCAGATAGACTTTTACAATAATGCTATTATACAGTAACATTGTACAGTAGCCATAGAATATCCTGAGTTCAAAGGGACCCATAAGGATCACTGAGTCCAACTCCTGGCTCCACAGGACCACGTCTGACAGAATTGTTGGGATGCTTCTTGAGCTCCAGTAAGCTTGGAAGTGGCCACAGTACCATGTGTGACCACGCTATCAGTGAAGAACCTCTTCCTGACATCCAACCTGAACCTCCCCTGGTCATTGATTATTATCAGTAATAATGTAGTCATCTATCAATGCAGACGCAGTTTTGTTTTTCTAGCTAAACTATTGAAAAATAATACTTGGAATTGTAATAGCCAAATTACTCCATGGTTAAACAGTGAAAACCAGGAACGGAATACTTACGAACGTGAACAATTGTGTGGGCTACCACAGCACTGAATATGTAATTACACTATTTTCTTCTCTTTGCTGTGCCAGATGATAATTGTGTGGTTCTGTTTGACTTTCAAATAAGAGTTATTAAAGCATGCATCACTGTTTGCTGCTTTACCACCACACTTTGCATCCTTACTACGGCAGAATTCAAGATGGAGGTTAGACCGACCAACTACAGCATGTTAAATAATCAACATAATCAGTAAAACCCAGATTTTGCTCCAAGAAACAGACAAAGCTGAAATAAGTCTCCTAGAGTAGACTAGAAAAAGACAAATAGAATGAAACTTACCTACATTTGAGCGAGCAGCAGCAGATTTCACATGACCTAGGGTAAAAGCTAGGCTTGTGAAAGGATGTGTATTGTCTGGTTCCCTTTTCCTTAGAAATACAATTACAGATTTGTTTCAGGTACCAGAAGTCCAGTAGTATCAGAGAAACAAGGAATTCCCACGAAAAACAGTGAATGTAGCAGCTGTAACATAAAACTTGCTGTTCCAATCCACGTAAGCCCACTGAACCGTAAAGAAGTTATGCCGTCAGCTCTAGCCAACCAAAACACATTTATGTGACTTGGAAGATAAACATTTTCTCCTACTTCCACAATCTTGCAGAACATGTATTCACCAGACTGAACAGAAACTTGAATATGCAGTTCTTTAAATTTAAACGATGACTTTTGTGCTAAAATCAGCAGTCTGCTGATTTTAAAAAATTGTTTTATGTAACCAGTCAGCTTGGACACTTATTATTCCAAACAAGTTGGAGCACATGCCTCTTTCACAGTAGATGTGTTTCAATTTCAGTTAACTTTTGGTATGTAACGGGATCACAGTATAAACTAAACTTGACTATTGACAATTTAAGATTGGGTATTATTATTGGAGGATAGCTTGCCTGGAAATCCACAATCATCCTGTTCTCTCAGTCTAGACCCCCTAGTGGGGTCATATTAACTGTGCTTTGTTACCTTCACTAAGTTATTTCTAAATCCAATTTAAACTTGCCCTCCTCTTCGCATGAACTCTGACAAAGTTCATCTGAAGCTTTCTTTGTGTCCTAATAGCTTTGCTATGCAGAGTCAGTGGTTACATTATTGTCTTAGCAGGAATTCTGTTTTCTCAGAATTATTTTCATTTTTTAATAGCCTAGGCTGTACCTGCCTTGTAATTATTTGAACAGCGTTATAAATATTGTACTACATACAAGACATCACAGTGTTCAAATAGCTAATGCATCTAAATACTGTTATGAAAGCAAAAGGCATTTGCCTGGAGGCATTTAACTTGGCCCAAGTAACACCTTCAACTAATGCTATAAAGATGGGCTCTGCAGAAATTTCAAAAGGAAGAACAGTTGAAGCACTGAAACGTCAGAAATTTCAGCAAAGTTCCATTGTAATTTGAAATATCTTTTCACTGAGAAAGCCATGCCATTAGTCATGGGTTTTGCTTCTTCTGACTGCTCTTAAATGCGTATTTTGAAAGACCTTTTCAAGTTGTGAAATCACTTCATTGGAATTCTAAACGCTTACCAAATTCCCATTCGTTTTCCTGAAAAAGGACAAATTTGAACTTAGAGCATTAGGTGACAACAGAGCTTATAGTAACTTACTCATGAAGCAGCTTTAGTTTACAAGAAAAAAAGAAAACTACTTCACTGTCTTTGATTTCACCCACCATACTTTAATTTCAAGTCTTAATCAAGTATTGTATAAAAGAACTCACAAATCCAAGAAGCTAGCCCATCCCAGCATCTGACAGCTCTGTTTATTATTTACTGTTTAATGCTTAAGCAGAAAACCATAAATCAACTGCAATAAATAAGTGATTCAGCTCTACTTATAGATTTCTTGTACCAGGTATAAATGCTTATCCTGTCTCACAGAATAGCTGCCTCCAATTCCCATTTTTAAGTTCTTAAGCACATCGTAGGTAGGTTCCACTAAAGACTGTGAGCATCAGGAGGGCACAGGAAACCACAGAGAAATAGAAACTGCATCTATTTCAGTGCTTTGCAGAGCTGAAATGCTGTTGGAAAGTGTAACACCAACACCAGCGTGCCCTTATAGTCTTTAAAGTTGTTTTAATGAATAGCAGCACTCTCCAAGCATTAATCCCTTCACAGACAGTTGCTGACTTGCCATGGGGATAAAGAGCACAAACATGAGTTTCAGTATTGTAGACTGTCAAAACCACAAAGAACTATAAAAAAGAATGACAGTTCCATGAAGCTAGGAAGTGGAAGCTTTCTCTGTCTGGAATTCAGCCTGGCTAAGGAGGCAACCAGGAGCAGAGTAACCTGAATTATGTCCAAGGAAATTGCACATCTATTCACTGACTTCCAAGAAGTAATATGCTTACCCTAAAGTTCACCTGCTTCTGTCACCACTCAGTCTGAAAACAGTTTTGCTATACAAATTAGTGTTATTTTGTCCCCCACTTAATGAGAATTCAGGATATCATTGAGCTCTATCACTTCCAGATGTCCATGGTTTATCAGGATCCATGAACTGCATTGCGCTTTGTTATGCCAGAATACTCCTACAGGGATATAGGCAGCATCTCAAAAATTACAAATGTGTAATGGCAGAAAGAAAGGGTTCCTTCACATGCTTCCTCAAGACAAGCTCAGAGCTCTCAGCCATGTTGTTTCTACAGTTTCTGTAGCAAGCAATCTCACAATCCATTTGCACAATAAACGGCCAGTAAGCATTTGATAAAGAATGTGAGTGCCTGACTGCAGCTTCCAGGGATCAGATTCTTGGGATTTAGGCCACAGGGCAGTGAGAGCCCACCACAGGTACTGTGCAGTTACTGTGAAGCATCATGCAACCTATCATACTGCTTCAAACAGATACCTGTGTGACAAAACTCAGTGCTGAGTTTTGTAGCTGGACAAGATAGCTTCGTTTCCTGCAGAACTGGGATTGCAGACTAATTCTGGAGCAGTACATTGTGCCCACTGCATTGGGAGTCATGCCTTAGAGAACTGCTAGCCCGTGCAGTTAGTGAGGAACAAGCACTTTTTCCTCAGCAACCAGATTCCAGATTCCTGTCTGGAAGGCAGAATTGAGTATTTTGCAGCACAGATACAGGACAGCAACTGTTTCATACTGAGCAAGTGCATTGCACATCTGTTTGCCACGTGCAGCCACAATCATCTGTATGGAGTAATCACTGCAGCAATTCCATCAAGTTGTTGCATCTAAACTGTGAACACCAACACATTACTGGAACATGGATTCTTACCTCTTACATTATTTTTCTTTGCTTAATGCTGGAAGTACTGCATCCCACATAGACTGTTATTTAAAGTAAGATCATTGGACATCATAGCCAAGATTCACAGAATACTGCATCACTGTCCTAACTTCAAGTGCTACTAATGCAACAGTGATAAAAACAAATATTGCTGTCATTTCCAAATGTAGCAGTTCTTCTCCTTTTCTCCTCCTCCACAGTTTATGATGAAAGGAGAAGAATTCCAAAGTTATTCATAAAGTGTGGTACAGAAAATTACACAGAGGGCTACTGGCCTTCTCATCTGTCCCACTGCCAGACTCTTTCCATTAACTGTTGCTACGAGAGCCTGTCTGAATTATTAGAAGGAAATAATGCTTCAAAACTGAGAAATGGAAATCAGTGCTAGAACACTGTCCATTAGTCTTTTGCCTTTAAGATGCTCAGGTACTGTTGTGACTAGTCCCAACTTAAGAGGCAAAAAACCTAGAACAAGAAAGAGAAGAACCAGGCATTACGTGGTATATCAGAGGACAGAACAAAAGCCTTAACAGAATCAGACTAGTTTCATTTTCAAAATTATTTCTGATACAGAAACTGAAAACAAGTGCTGTGTGCTCTGAGCTCAGCCTACTGTATTCAAGAAATATTTTTCATCCGTGGATTCATACTAAAAAGAATCAATTTGTTTCTGAAACACATCTGTCACATAACTTGGATAGCTTTACCATACGTACTCCTTCCAGTAGAGCAATTTTTTTTTTTCCTTTCTTTTTTCCTTTCTTTTTTTACAGTAATCCATTTTGAAACAACAGCTCAAGATCCATGCTATTTGATAGGTTGTTCCTAGAACTCTATAAACTCTCAGCAAGGTAAAGAAGAAAAAAAATCCACAATACGAGTAGTATAACTAATTGTTGCAGTATTAAATTGAAGGGTTTTTGTTTGCTTATTTTTAAAAGTGGTCTTTACCTCTTCACAGGTCTTCTACTAAGTTACTTTATTGACTTCATTACGAATAAAGCCGCAGGAATCTCTCCTTCATGCCTTTGCCTCCTAGCCACCCTCTGGCAAGACAAAACACTCTTTGATCCAACAGTAACTTCTATGGTGACACCGCAGTGTTTAGCAGTTATGGTTTTATTATGTAACTAATAAACAGTACATAAATAACAAGGGAAGTAGCTTTTATTTCAGAAACTTCTCAACAGTAGCAACAAAAATAAAGGAAATGGAGCACAGAGTTTATTTGTGCTTACCAATGCTCTCCTCTAGTTTACTTTGAAGACAGAGCCCTTCTTTCTCTTAGAACTTCCAAATATTTCAACCAATTTGTTAGGATTTTAGAACAATTTAAGTCATGATTACCAACTGGGTCCTAGCTTAAAAACATTACGTAAAGTGCTCCTATCAGGACTCCATTTATAACTTTCATTTAAGCAATTTAAACATCAATGTTTTGCTAAGTAGACAGTAACCAGATAAATAATATTTCTAATACCAGTACAAACGTCATATACAAAACCTTTTCAGAATTCACCTGAAAAAGTGTCTTCAGCTGATAAAAATAAAATCTGTTCATCACACTGAAAACCAGACAGGTATAACAGGATCCAGCCACTGGATAATATACATCTCCATGATGAGATTTAGTTCCTTATCTTCTTTCACATTTAATCACGAGAACATAAATGCTGCTAAGCAAAAACGTGGTTACACAGACGCACACAAAGATGCCTTTTAGAGGACCTGCCAGAAGTCTCAAATCCATATTTTTAGTTATGGAAAGAGGTACACGGATGCACAGTTCTTATAGCATGCACACACGAAGGCCGTCACTTCCGGAAGCGCTTAAACAGCGGGTGGATGTGCTTATTTGAAGATGCCTTACTCCGAGATGAGTGATATTCCATATAAACTGCATCATCTGCTCCTGACATAGAGCTCATTGTGCCTGCACGGCGTGACATCTGTAAGTACGGAGAGAAAAAACACATGCTTGCAGTGGGTGATTAGACAGATCAGCTCTCATCCACAGACCTTCAGACCAAAATGCCTTCAAAGTCAGTTTTTATTTTCCTTAAAGGAGAATTTCTACTAAGAAAGTAACTGCCTACCACTCACTCTACATAAGTGGCCTCTTAGTTTCTGTCCTTTGGGCATGGGCAAATTAGTGAATTAATTAGCCAAGTGCTAATGCAGCTTAGAAAAAAAACAAAACACTAATGCATCAGTGCATTACATGCAATTTCAATGCAGCACAATGCTGGCATCACATTCAGAATTAAAATGGAACAGTCCTGTTCTACTGCATTTGTGGTCATCCTTTTCAAAGTATTGTTCATTACCTGAACTGACTTTGAACCATATTCTCCAGCAACTACCTCCTCCTCAGCATCTAGGTCAGATGCTTGTAGGACTTTCTGAAGAAGTTGCTGCTGTTCTTCTTTGGACGAAAATGAAAGCTCTTCTTCTTCCATGCCTGCAAGCTTTGTTATTACCTAAGAAACAGAGCACAATACAAGGTGGGGGTTTTTGAACTGTTACCAGTTATGGTGCGTGTGCAAGTTATCCCCCACCTCACAATCTCCTGTAATGTTCAGGCTGGAAATGCATTAGCTCTAGACAAGAGAACGTATACCAAATTCCATGCCAGCTTGACCAGGAACCTTATTGGAAGGCTGACTTTATGCTGTACCTTCAGGTTTTGTCCAGTTTAAGAAGTAGTGCTTTATATTGCATGAATATACTTTACACTAAAGGACTTTGTATTTCAGAACAATAATCAGTTAGCTTTCCTGACACCAAGAATTTTAACATTCACATTTAGGAACACTCACAATAAGCTGAGAGACTGCACAACAACCTGCAACAAAGTGTCAGCAGTGTCACTGCTGTCAGTGGCAATTTCTAAGTTGAAAAATGCATTTCTCTGAAAAATGTGTATTTCTAAGAATCTATGCAGGGAAGCAACCTGTCCTATTATACAAACAAATGAACTCTACGATTCCTCTTGTTTACAAAGTGCACGTGCTACGATCATGTCAAAAACAAAATGGAACCACAGGAAGAACCGCATTAGCATGTTTACAGTTGTTGCAAAACAGTGCTAGCATATTTCATAAAATAGAAATAATTTCCACTGCATCACAATATTTTTAAGATGTTGAACAGATGCCAAGTTTAAACTAATTAGATTATTTGATACATTAAGTTCTTCTGCTGTTAATTTAAAAGCAATTTATCCTGCATTCAACCTCAAAAAAAAAAAATATACAGTATGGTAACTAACCTTCAGTTAGCTAACCAAACTACTCCTAAATAATTTAGACCCCAAGCAGCAAATAGTGATGGCAAGGCTGTATAAAAGAAGCAAAGACGAAAGGTGTGATTCAGCAAACAGTTAGAATAATTCCCTTTCTGCTGGAAGGCAGAGAAATGAGCTACTGACAGATGAAAAGAAGAAAGTCCTAGAAAAAAAAAAATGCATACTGTTACCCTTCTAAGAGAGTACCAAATTTTTAGTAATGTTAGGTATCAGGAATAAAAATTCCAAAAGAAAAGACACCAGCACTGAAATAATTGCCTAAAGATGAAATAGTCATGAAGGCAAACATCAGCTGGGAATGACATACACAGTTGATTCTGGCTTGTAATGAAGAAACATTAGATGGTTTCTTCAAGTTTCTTCCAACCCTACTGTTGCTCAACGCCAGCTATGTCTAAAGCTTAAAGTTCAGCAAACAGAAGAAAACAGGTATTTTAACATTTTGCTACTAATCTTCAAATAAAGAACATTCCAGTACTGGTCAGCTAAAATTCTGCTCCAGAAATTCAGCTGCCATTTGCACTTTTGTTCCCATGAAGTCCGAACTCCTAGGACAACATCTTCCTCTATTTTAACCCCTTACTGAGCTCTATAATCCAAGATTTATATTCAAATAAAAGCAAATAAAAAAGGGATTTCTTTAATCTTCTTGGCTATAGCCACAGAGACTCATCTGTTGTAATTACCTGCAGGTGACTGACTTACAATTTTGTGAAGATACACTCACTACAAAGCAAAGCTTTTACATTTAAAGCCTATGGCACGTCTGTTTTGATGGAAAGACCTCCTCTTTAACAGAGCCAATGATAACAAAGCAGTTTAATTCAGAGTACCTGCAGTTCATACAGGTTTTACCCACACAGATGTCCCAAAATGCACGTGTGTCTCTAATGATCTTCAACAGCTGGGTTCAAGCGCAGTCCAGCTGAGGCTGCTTGCTTTCACCCTGTGCAATCTGAGGTGTGACTGCTGTGCACGGCCATCTGGAACATCAGTTGTCTTCCACGTCACTGTCACCACTGCTGAAATGCACCACCTCACTGTGCTCACATCCACTGTTTAGTCTCCATAAGTGTTCAGCAAGCCTCAATGAAGTCCATGGGTGCCATTTTTTCCTGCATGGAAATTTTCCTGCTTCCCATATGCAGCAGCTTTGCTTCATATGCACTTCCATGGCAGGCACTATTTTGTCAGAGGGCCCCTCTGCTGCCATCTGTCGCACAACAACACGTAACGGAGTATTGGTGGGAACATTCAGCCTGTGCTGCCATTCCACCAATATCTACCTCTGATTCTATGGACCAACATAATACAATAGGAAGCATTACTTTCAGATCTGCCCTTATTGAATACTTACCTTCCTAAAGTCTATATTAAAATACTTGTATCTACCCTCACAGTAACACAGTTAACAGAATAATGCAGGAAATTTTTTTGCCCGCAAGCAAAACCTTCGTTAATACACTTCCCAACAGTAATTCTCAAGTATCTGACCTAGCCACAAAATGAAAGAATTAAAGTTATATTCACAGGCCATAGTTTAACAATAAGAATGGATTAATTACCTTGAAGCTATAGCCTTGATCTACGAGAAACCGTTGTCGCTTGGTTGAATATGCCATTTCCTGAGTGTCTTGGGATACAAGAGAATAAAAAAAGGCATTGTATTCCTCTGCAACCATGCCTAGGAGACAAAGCCACCAAGCGATTAGTTCCATTTGGATTACTACAACCAAGAAGAAAAGAGGACTAAATTGTAAAAATAGTGTTCCAATAAGAATTCTCTCCACAAAATCAATTTGTAAGGTTTATTTAAAATACAAGCTACATCCTGAGCTTACATAAACTGAGTGACAAAGCACACCACGCCGAAATCCCTACTATCATTCATAATAACTTGAGCATAAGTTTAAATGGAAAAGGAAATTCAGACTAACCCACTTATGCTGGTACCCTGACAACTTGCTGCTTAACCATGCAAAACAAAGTAAAAGAAAAAATTACTTACATAATAGTTTGCAAACAAGCAGTAAGAAGAACAAAGATTGTAATAGATGTCAAAAAAACTAAACAGAAACTGCAATGGAAATTCATCAATGTAAGCCAAAGTTAGCAATCTGTTTGCATTAAAAGGAGGATAAAAGGATAAACCAGTCTGTGCATTTTTTAAACAAACGAAAAACAAACAAAAAACCCACCAACCAACAGAACTGAAGCACTGCAATTTTATTCTCCACCTGACAGTTACCAATAATTTCCTCTGAAGTATGACCACTTCCTAGGGAATACTCATTCTATCTAAACTAAGTGCCAACAGGCTGTGACACAAACAATTTTCAAGCTTCTTACTACCTTAACGAGAGAATTCTTGAAGTAGAACCATTTCACCTTGAGCTACATCCTAATTCATCTCAAGAAGATATAAATGGGATTACAGCAGATTAAACATCTCCTATTTATCAGTTAATAGAACAGACTTATGTGAGTGTCTTTCAGGAAACATTCAGTTAATCAAGTCAACCAGCAAATTCTGCCTAAGAGCAATTCTCCTTACTTCAAGGCCAATAGAAACGTCAGAAGACAAAGTGACAGAAGCATCCCAATAGCACTTACACACATTCTTCAAACTGAAACACAGATAAATTTCAAACCAATGAAGCAATTCCTACATCCCTGACCCCTCAGTAAGTTTTAATCCTACTCACATACATACCCAGCAGAGAAAAAAAATGCCAGTACAATTGGACAGTTTTTTTTCCTAGGTGATCTCCACACTGAGTCCAGAACATACCACAAAAAGCAAAGCTCACCATCACTGAAGCTACAGTGACACTGCAACTCCACCGATATCCCAGGCCAGAGCAACAAATAGCTTTTCAGTCTACAGTTTATTTAAACTCTAGAAATACACTGGAGGATGAGGGGAGGAACAGCACAAACCTGATGAACTATTCAATCTGATGATATAAACGTGATTTTGACAGTCTTTGGGTAGGAAGTGAATGCTACAGCACTCTATTTACACTTTGCTATGGATGGACAGGATTCCTGCTCCTGTTAGTGATACAGCTTTCTACAACCTCCACTTTAATAAACATTCAGCAACTACTCAACTTTAATAAAACAAGCATTAGAGGAGAGAAATACCTCATAGAAACAATGCTAGATTTATTGTAACATAGTATATACAAATTCACAAGTTTGGAGGAAAAAAAACCATCACTGGGTATTCTGGCTCCTGGAACACTGAATGCTTCTAGTAATACTATGCAGATTTGACATAGCTGAGCGTAAGTTCTTAAAACAGAAAGGGGAAACAATGCTATTTTGGCATAGTAAACCATCATAACAGGAAGGCAAGGAAAATGCAAGAAAGCATTCAAGAAAATTCATTTCTGAATAAAAAGAATGGAGAAAAGAAAGAAGAGATTCTGCAAACGACAAACAGAACAGCATCCACATTATTACAAAAAAAAAAAAAACCCCAACACTTCTCTCACACAGGATCTTAAACTACCTTCTTATTCATGATACTGCCATTTATTCAGTCTACGTTCCAGTATTCTAAACAGTTGAGTAGTTACCTGAACGCCGTACCGCGTTCCAACGAGCAGAGCCCAAGCACTACCTCACCTTTTTTGGCTCTCAGTACTCGCCCCAGCCTTTGAGCCTCCTGTCTTCGAGATCCACCGTGGGATGAAATCTGAATCAGAACATTGGCTTCAGGCAGATCAAAGGATGTGTCACCCACCTACAACAAAGAAGCAGCATCTGATTGCCACAGTAACAACTCTGTACAAAGTGCACCTTTATCAGTCGCAATAATGTCAAATGCCCAATGTGCATGTACAACTTGTTCCTATATAAGGAGCACTCTGAAGACGAGTACAACAACATACTACATCCTCACCTTTGAAATGAAAATAGTGTTGATTTTTGGATTGTGCTTGAAGTTTTGTAGAATTTGCATTCTTTCTCCTTGTGCAGTGGGACCATATATGTATGGTCTGAAAAAAAAACAAACAGAACATATGCAAATTAAACCAATTCAAAATTTCTCATTTATTAACAGGCACCAAGATATCATAGCAGGGAGCTCGTTACACAGTGATTTGAACATATTAATAGCACCAAAGAAAAAAGCAGCACGAGCTACATGACTCTGGATGACAGACTCAGGACAGAGTAAAAACTGGCTTAAGAAATTTGAGTTCTGAGGCCTCCAAAGTTAAAGGCAAAAATAATTTCTGTCACATGCATGTTCTGTTCCCTGCTGGTACCAAGGGAATGAAATGGGGTAGAAGAGGAGCTGGTGCAGCAGCAGCTACCACACAGTGCCAATTCCCCTCCACTGGGAGCCCACCTGCCCCACACACTTGAACCAGGCAGTGGAACCAACCTGCTGAGCCAGCACAGCCAGGCACAGCCTAGGCTACTGCTGCAGCACCCACTGGGCTTCTCCCTCCTACACAGACCCATCATTCCTGTCACAACCAAACTAGCAGCCCCTGTTTATGCCTAAAGCCAACTCTGAGCATGCCCATGACAAACTACAATTTGAGAACTTCCTGTTTAAAATGTTCTGTTTCACCTAGCACTGCAACCCCTCTTTCTCTCAGCTATTACAGCTGTATGAACTGGAGATCCATCCACATCACGTGGGAAGGAGAATTGAGTCAAGAATGTGAAAAACAAGCACCTGATGTTCACACAGTTCTCCTGCCTGCTTGTACTTCGACAGCATCTTCCATACTTATAAACCATGAGGGCTACTTTGCAAGCACCCCTTCTAGGCATGTGCCTTTGTTAAAGGCTCTTGTTCTGCGGTGCGCTGCACACTGCTAGCAACATTCCAGAGGCATCATTACAGCTAATCTCTGTCCAGACAGATTAAAAAAAAAAAAAAAGATGAAAGAGACCACGGGTGTTGGAATTCATCCAGAACTACTAGCTCTGCTATTTGATGCACAGCAAGCCAAAACAACATGGCCATTAAACTATAGTGAAAAGTGATCATTAATTTTAGAAAGTGCAAAAACATTTGTTTGCAGTTTTGCTGAGTACTGTCAAAATTCCTAGACATTAAATCACACAGTCAAAATGCCCCGCAGCTTCCAGTCATCAACACATTATTTGAGCTTGACACAGAAAGCATGAGGCCAGCTTCCAATGCTTATTTTCCCCAAGGAATTGCTGTATGCCTGATCCTTGCAAACATCCTCCCTGGTCATCACTTCCCAAGCCATTCAAACACATTGAAGTCAACCCCTCAGCAAACTGTACTTGAGATAATTTTATCGACACATAGGATTGCTGATCTTGAAAGATCCCAAGCACACATTTGAAAACATTCCCCTGTCAGAGAGACAGGAGAGAAGCTACCGTCCATTACACAAATAGTTCTGGAAAGATTTTTTAAGGCTCCCCAATTTTGCCAAGTGGCTTTCAACAGTAATTTTAAAAAAATGGAGAAATACAAAGTTATTCATAGAAAACTTGGATGAAGACTCCTCTGAGCCAAGTGCTAAACAGAGACCCTTCTCAAACAGTTCTACAACGGAATTAATTTTCAATGCCCATAAAATCCATCACAGAATCACACAGAATCACAGAATCACCCGGGTTGGAAGGGACCCCAAGGATCATGTAGTTCCAACCCCCCTGCCTAGCAGGGCCACCAAACATACACATTCAGATCAGGTTGCCCAGGACCCCGTCCAACCTGGCCTTAAACACGTCCAAGGACGGGGCATCCACAACCTCCCTGGGCAGCCCGTTCCAGGGCCTAACCACTCTCCTAGTAAAGAACTTCCCCCTAACATCCAACCTAAATCTTCCCTCCTTCAACTTAAAACCATTTCCCCTAGTCCTGCTGTTATCAGCCCTTTTGAAGAGTTTACTCCCCTCCTGGGTGTAGGTTCCCTTCAGGTATTGATAGGCTGCAATGAGGTCACCCCGCAGCCTTCTCTTCTCCAGGCTGAACAAGCCCAACTCCCTCAGCCTGTCCTCATAGGGGAGGTGCTCCAGCCCCCTGATCATCTTAGTCGCCCTCCTCTGGACCCTTTCCAAAATCTCAATGTCTTTCTTGTACTGAGGGCTCCACACCTGGACACAGTATTCCAGATGGGGCCTCACAAGAGCCGAGTAAAGAGGGACAATCACCTCCCTGTCCCTGCTGGCCACCCCTCTCCTGATGGAGCCCAGGATCCCATTTGCCTTTCGAGCTCCATCCAAAGAGTAGTTTCCTGAACTCCTCCTACATGAGAATTGTAGTTGAAGTATTACAACAAATGTCTGGAGGTTACTGAGATCTGTAAGATCACAAGTTAATATTCCAAGAAGGAGGAAAGCAACAGCATCATCATTAGTTGTGAACACTTACTTCCCAAGTCTGATTGCGTACTCCTTCAGTGCAAACACGTTGTCAGCAAAAACAATGATTTTATCATTCCGCCGCTCATGAAACTTAATCAGGAACTGGCAAGCTCTGAACTTATTTGGGTTCATGGTGTACAGCAGTATCCGTTTCTTTGTTTTGATTGCTACGTATTCTCTATAAAATTCAGGTGACATTGGGCACCAAACCTAGAATTCGAGAATACACACTGAGTAAATGCCAGTTATCTATTTAACTCCAGGAAGAATTTAAACAATATTAGGGGAAAATGCATTATACCTTCCTATGCAGCAGAGGCCACAAATCCTAACGTGATTTATTGATTTATTTCTGTATTAAAATGAAGTATTGACTGGTCTAGCCTCTAGAACCACTAACTCTTTTTACCTCACTAATATCATCATCTTCTGAAACGCTGGGGCAGCGAGATCCACGACAAACAGGCAGTGGGATTGCAACAGGACACAGAAGTCCTTTGTTTAAAATCTGATAGTTTCACTGAATGCTACTATGTTTTACAGAAGTAGAATTAAAGGAATTAACCGTGCAATATTTCTGTCACTGCAGTCAAGGCCTTTGCCCTAAAAATTCATTTTCATCCATGTTCTGAAAACCTAGATACACTTACTCATTACAGAACACATTTACCAATCCTTTCCTCGTATATAATCAGCTGTAAGACATCTCCAGCCTGCATCTTTCAAAACAGAATTTATTAGAAGTTTCCAATGGCTTTATCTGCACAGTATCATGCATTGTGCTTGAGCTGACATATATATCACAGCACTGCACAGATTCAGTCACTGTGATAATTTTTCTTCACAGTAGAGATTGAAAATATAAGAAATTATGAACTTTATGCAAATGCAATGACACTACAGCGTGTCATGACAGCATGCATAATTTCATCTAAATTACATACGTTTGTTCTGTATGTGGCCTCTTCTGACATATTCATCACACAGTACAAATTTAACAAATAAGATTTAAAAAGGCCTCTCATAATTACTCCTCAGTTAAAAAGATGCTCAGCAAAAAATCTATTCACACTGGTGACAATCTGTATGAGTCTATATAATGACCCAATCTGCTCTGAGCTCTTAAAAATTATCACAGACAACGGATTAGGCCAGACCTTCAGTCTGTCCCAGAAAGGCTATTCCCAACATTCTAGCATGCCTGGGTGAAATGTTCCCATGTTCCCACTTACGTGACATTAGATTTTCATCTCATCCATTTGCTGGAAAGAAGAGCTCACACATGATTACATTGGAATCAAGCATTGTAATCACACATGATTATATTGGAAAGAAATAGCAAGATCTAGTGCCACGTCTTCTGTTTTCATCCTGAGGCCTTAAGGCTTAAAATAAGCAGGCATCGTCTTCATTTTTAAGCTTCCTGCTATCCTTCTTTGTTTTAATAGTTACAAGAATTTTTTTCAAGAAAGACTACAGACTACCAGCTGAAGTCTCTCAGAAGCAGCTTCAAGTATACCATCTGACCAATGCTGTCATACAGAACTGAGCTTAAAACACAAAATGAAATCAATGCAAATGCCAGCTGCATCAGAGTAAGTCTACAACATTGCAGCTGCTGGTTGTTTTTTCCCTGCAAATGCTAAATTAGAGAGAACTCATTAAGCACCACAACCCCCCAAAAAGAGAAACAATGCTGAAGACAGCTACAGGATTGCAGCATGTTCATACTGCCTACTGACAGCCCTTCTTGAGCTACTAAGTGAAAAGCCAACAGGGTACTTCCTGCTCACACAGTTCAATACTGACAGTTCTTCTCCCCCCCCCCCCCCCAAAAAAAAAAAAAGCTAAAAGAGCTATAAGCATGCTAAATATACACCAGTAGTACTGAAAAGCAGAACATCACCTCGGCACACTGGACTTTAGCAATGTAGCCACTGTTCTGCAGCTCCATCCAGTTGGCCTCATAAAGCTTTGGTCCAATCAGGAAGTTCAGATCAACAATTTTATCATCTTCTCTGACCAGGGTAGCAGTCAGTCCCAGTTTACAATGAGCTTGTACAATAGTGAGCACACGTCTGAACATTTTTGCTAAGAAACACAAGACACACTTTCTGTTTACTTTCCCGCATGGATTTAGAATACAAGTACTGCAATGTCACATATTAAGAAAATAAACTCCCAAACACAAAGCAAGCATGGTCTTAGGAATTGTCATCCCATTTTACATACACTTCTAACAGTATTCTGTGGCTCAGCAAAACTTCACATTGATTTCAGCCTTTGTTTGCACCTCAGTGTACTCTAAAAAACCCTTCCAACCTTTTACATTTGTATTACTTCCTGTACCCCAAAAAGAAAAGTAATAGAGAGAGGTTATGTGACTTATCTTAGCCATGTAGCATTTCATAAAAAGACAGATAACACGAGTACTCTTGGCTGACTTGGTTACGATCAGGACCAACATAAGGCAGAATTATTTATCTTTAGTACAGTTTCAAATCCTGTGATTGCAGTCTGCAGGCATAGAAGAAATTATACCTTAATGTTTATGACACGAAGAAACGTGAAAGAAGCGTGCCAGCAACGTGCTGCTTTGTTAATCAAAGCCCATCCCAGAAATCCATCATTTCAGTACAGACCAAATCACACTCAAATCTAAACAACAGCAATATAGAACAGCTGACAGAACCTGGGTGGTACACTTCACCAGGATAACTCCACAGATGCTTTAATACCACTTTACTGCTTTCCAATAGTCTTCAAATACAACAGCTATTTCTGGACAGTTACTACTGCAGTTACTCAAATTTTATGGACTAGAAATAGACAATAACACCCAAGCCCACAGTGCAATTGCATCTCAAAACCAAAGATGGCAGATTAACTCTGTCCCGTTCCCAAAGAGAGCGCTACCATCTGCAAACAAATCTCTCCACTGCAAAATTACACACACTTAATTTGTGTGCCCTCTCAAGCACTTTATCAACCCACACAAAAGGAGAAGGCCACTCGTATTTTCTACTGCCACTGTAGAGAACAACAGAACTTCAAAAAGGTTTCAAAAAAAAAAAAAAAACCAAACAAACAAGAAAAATCAAAGGTCAGTTAAACTCCACAACGCTGGGCCAGGGGAGTGGGGAAAGATGGCAGTTTACTTGTTTGTCTCAAAACCCTATGCCTTGGGTTTACCAACTGGATTAAACATGAGCAAGCCAACAGCCTGTATAATCAATGAATATAAAGATGTTATAACTACAAAATAAACAAGAGAGTTTGGCTAAGCAGGTTATAATAACAAAAAGAGAACAGATAGAATGCTTACCTACATCCTGGGCTTTCTTGCAAAACTCCAGAGGGATCTCCAGAAGAGATCCTTCCCCACTGGCTGTCAGCTCTTAAATGGCTCTAGGAGAGGTGCAGCCAGGCTCCACCCCTTCCAGCAGCACAGCTGAATTGCCTTCACCTGTGCTCCTGTGGCTGGCTCATGGCTCACCTCAGGTGATCAATCAGAGGTTCAGGCCGTGGTTCAGCAGTTCCCATACACAACCCCACAAGCTTTTACAGAGAGAAGCAAGGTTACCAGTACATACAGCATAAGAGCCTGCACACCGTTTCCTTACCAGGGATAGTATGTACTTCATCGAGTATCATAAGGCCCCATTCTCGACTTTTAAGCCACTCCATCACTCTTTCTGCTTCCCAGGATCTCTTAGTTGTGTGTCCCAACATGGAATACGTGCTGATGGCAATAGAGCAATCAATGGGTTTATCTTTGGCATCAGAGGTGAAGCGACAGATCTGACTGTCATCGATGGTGGACCACATCTTGAACTGCGCTTTCCACTGTTCCACAGACACTGCAGAATTACCCAGGACCAGGCACCTCTTGCGCACGGTACACGCAGCTGTCACTCCAACTAGAGACTTGCCAGCACCTGTGGAAGGAGTGATATTCACTATTTATCTCACAGATATCATTGGAATAGATGGAAAAAGAGCAAAGGACAATAGGAGATGTGCGAGAGGACATGAAATCACATAAGTGCAGTCTTCGCTGCTTCTTTACTAGAGTAGTCTTAAGGAAATTGATTGTCTACTTCTATAAAGACAGCTGGATTGCCTTCTACAAGCTGCTTTCTGAAGAAAATTACTGCCAACATTTCTTTTGCCAGTGAGAAGCAATCATACTGTTTTCTTCATTTCAAATACAGGATAAATTCCAGGAGGCTACAGAAAGCTTCTACTAGAGGCCATCTCCCCCATACTTGCCCTGCAAGCTATGTACACTACACCACATAGCAAGTCCTTATGTGTTTCCGTTCCTCTTTCACATCTCCTCCAACATCCCTTTATGCACTCTTTCAGGCCCTCCTGCTACCTCCTGCACTGCCATAAGCAGTCTCCCATTCTCTCCCTCTTTAATTGCTTTCTGGGAGTTGTCTCAACCTTCTTGCTTGCACCCCAAGCTCCTCCACATACCCAGACCAGTCCCTATTACAGTCTGAAGTCTAAACAGCTGACAGATCTGAAAGTTACTTTATTGCAGGCAAATAAAGAACAAAATCCCTAAAGAAGAAAACCCTTAAAAAAAATAAAAAATCAACGCAGTAATTTACCACATGGCAAGACAATAACACCAGATCTGGCTCGCCCATTTCCAAACATCTTCCTCAGGCTTTTCTCTTGATAGGGTCTGAGGACAGCTGTAGGTTTCAGATCTATATTAATATCAGGATTCACAGAATCATTTCTGAAATCATATTCTGCCAGCAATGGGTAGTCCAGCTGGATACAACGCTTCTGGAGTTCTTCAATCATCTCCTGAGGAGGAGACAAAGATTCAGGTGCTAAATCCTCCACATCTCAATTATTATTACACGATTTAACAATTACTGATTATGCAGTAATAGGTCAAAGTCACATTTAACATTTATGCTCACTAAGTCTGCAAGAGCTGAAGTTCATTTCAATAACTTTGTTACTGAAGAACCCCCCTGTATTGAGGTTTGTATTGAGAACCCTCCTGCTCCAACATTTGAAATAACAGCCCCTACTAGGGAGAGCTATTTTGACACATGGAAGTGTAAGACACATTAATCTGAAATGCATTCTTTATCTGGCAGTGACTGAACTACGCTCTGAAGCCCTGCAACAAAAAGCTCAATAGCAGACACAAAAGGTCTTGTGTACTACATGGAAAGACCTACTGAAGCTGCACACCTGTTATAGGAAAAAGCTTCATACCCTGACAACGCAGTTATTCCATCACCATGACAGGTTGATTCAATCACCAAAAACTGTTTCCAGTTCTCAATTACTTCTCTGGTTATTAAAAAGTTCTCTTTTTATTACTTCTGTTTTCCCCAGAAAAGCCTCGCTAGAATCACCAAGACCAGGCAGCAACAAGACAAGCTTTACAAAAGCTCTCTGAAGGCCAAATCAGGACTGCACTCTAACCTCCAGCTTCTCAAGCTAGGAAAACAGAGCCACCAAGAGTTTCTTCTGTAAATAACAATTGTGAGGAAAAAAAGTTCTGAAACTAACAGATTTACTCTCCACTGAACTCTCACGAGTCCTGCACAAAGCAGAATCAAGGTGAGCACAAACAGATCTCCCTTTAGCTTCTGAAACCTCTCTAGCTTGTGAGCCACTACACTCTGTGGGCAGAGAAGGAACATTCTGCAGTCTGCACGCTGTGTACTGGGAAGGAATATCCCAAGATTTTGGAAGGCAAAAGGAAAGAAACATCACTGACTTCCAGTGACCTACATTAAACAAGGAACCTATACTAGACTTTAAGTTATCTCTCATGCTTATTTGAGTCCAGGGCACATCCCCTAAAGCTGCAAATGCTAAGAGAGTAAAGCTTTCATGCCTGCTTGACTTCAAAAGATACTGTCTGTGTTTCTTCCTCCTCCTCCTCATCTTTGTCCATCTGCTCATAAAACTCATATAAGTCAGCTGGGACATCCGGCTTGTTTTGAATATCTGCTTCTTGTGATGTCGAGGGACCAAAGCTGCTCTCACTGGACTTGGAAATCTGAAAAAGACAGAAAGGAACTTCCACCAAAAGGTTCACTAGAGATGCTCCCCCCCAGCACTCATTGGAATGGGGCTAATTAACAAGGCAGAGCATGGCTGACAAAACTGAAAACTGCTGACATGACTGACGTACAGTAACGACTCCAAGCTACACAACAGCTTACCTGATGTAAATTCCATCATTTTAAAGCATGCCATACGTACCGCTGATTTACTTGTGAACGTCTCTGTAATGAGCTCTGTTTCTTCACCTTCAGCATTTCTCAGGCGACAGTCTTTAATAACGTGGTCTTGCAGGAGTTGCTGAATGACATCAGGATGGGTGCTTTCCACAAAATACCTGAAAGAACAAAAAACCCACATCTCTATGAACTAATTAAGACAAGAATTTACAGTAAAAAGTGGTGAGTGCTCAGATGTATAACAGGCCCAGATACACTCGCATGTATCCCACTTTGGGGGCGGTAATTTAAAAATAAACAAATTAGAACCACCAAAAATTTTAAGAGGTGCCTCACATCAAAAGCATTGCAGATTTTCACATTATCAATCTTCCCTCCTCCAGTTTAAAACCTTTCCCCCTTGTCCAACCACCATCTACCCATGTAAAAAGTTGATTTCTCTTCTGTTTATGATCTCCCTTTAAATACTGGAAGGTTGTGATGAGCTCTGCCTGCAGCCTTCTCTTCTCCTGACTAAAAAAGCCCAGCTCCTTCAGACCGTCTTCAGAGGAGAGGTGCTCCAGCACGGTGGACATCTTTGTGGCCCTCCTCTGGACCCTCTTCAAAAGCCTGACATCATCCCTGTGTTGGAGGCCCCAGACCTGGACATTTTACTTCAGATGGGGCCTCACAAGGACAATCACCCCCTCACCCTGCTGGTCACCCCTGCTCCGTGCACCTCTTCCTCTTGCAGCCCTGGATATCACCAGCCTTCCAGGCAGCAAACACACACTGCTGGCTCATGTTAGGTTTTCCATCTGCCAGGACCCCTACATTCTCCTCAGCAGGGCTACTCTCAAGCAGATTTTGTAAGATCACTTCTTTAACACCATCTATGGCAAACACAGCCTACCTGTTGCGTTTCAGCACCAGCTTCACCTTCCCATAGCTGACAGTACACAGCTGCAAACAGACAACAGCAGTCATTAGGAAAAGCCAAAAGAATGATTCTAGGTTTGGGTGCAATTCAGTTTCTTGTAAGAACACGCTGCATCTTCGTTTATTTGCAGTGCTGTTTTGCTTATGGAACAACCTCGAAGAAAAACTTTCAGAATGCACCAATTTTTATGGAGCTATATGCAACAGAAAAAGGGAAAAAGTAAGATGAAGTCTCTGCTCTCTTGTAACAGTATGATAGAATAGAGTAAGACGGTAAAAACACTGAGTAAAAAAAAGATGTATATAAAAATATAGCAGTAATGCAGATACAGCAGATAAGGACATCAGAGGGCTTTGCAATACAAAAACACAGACCTACCTTGATGAACTGAATGATTCCCTCTGGCACACCGGTTTTGCTCAGTTTCTGCAGGTACTCTGTGATATCACTGGTCTGCAGGCCGACGCTGACAGCGGCATACAGGGAGTAAGCAGTCAGTTTGTACTCGTGGATGTGGGTCGGTCTGCACACAGGTTCAGCAATGGCAACCAAAAAATCCTGTGCATATTTGTAAACAGGAGAAAAGGCTTCCAGGAAAATATGGCCATCAGGAGCCTACAGAAACACAAGGAAACACAGAAGGTGTGCCAGTGTTAGCTGAAGAAAATCAGGATTTTCCTACAACGCAGCCATTGCGATATGGACTCCTCTATTTAGGTGGTAATTTACCGCTGGGTTTCATCCAGCGCTGAAACTTAAGGCATCTGCCTTAACAATGAGATAACAAAGAGAAGAGAAACGGTAATCTTATTGAAAAAGGGCCAACCTAACAAGAAAGCCCAAACAGGCAGCGAGACTTGGGGTGTGCATCCAGTACGTGGCACTGGCCTGCTCATGCCGACGGAGCACCTCGATGACAGCAGACGACACAAGCAGACCAGAGGTGCCGGCAGAGCCACAGGAAGACACAAGTTGTCTTCTAAAAGGGACCAGACGTGGGTTCGTCTGCGTTCCTTCTACGGCAACAAAGCTCAACGCGTCCGGGCTGACACAGCCCGGGTCAGCACCCCGTGTTACGGCCAGCCGCCTCGCCTCACTTCGCACACGCCGACAAAGGCACAGGCGCCCTTTTCGTCCTACGCAAATCACGGTGAAGCCCAGCCCGCCCCACGGCCGTTCCCCCGCAAGCGGCCGCCCCGCCGCCGGAGCGCCGCGCCGCACGTACCACCCAGAGCGGCCGCGAGGCGTTGTCGGCCTTCAGCGGCATCTGCAGCCGGTAGTCCTTGGCGCCGTACTCGTCCAGCTTGGCGCCGCTGTCCTCCACCTGCTTCCCCGCCGCCGAGGGCACGGCCTCCTGCGAGTCCTTCCCGGGAGCGTCATCCTCCTCCTCCTCCTCGTCCTCGTAGTGCCGCTTCTTGGACTTCTTCTTGTCTGCGGCACACCGCGGCGTTAGAGCCGCGCACCTCCCGCCAACCCCCGCCCCGCGGCGGGCACGGCCCCGGCGCCCCTTCTCTTCTCTTCCCTTCCCTTCCCTTCCCTGCCGTGCCCCGCTCACCCCGCTCCTTCCTGCCCATGGCCGCCGCGCCGCTCCCGGCTGAACGGCGGCGACCGGAGGACGTTGCGTCACTTCCGCCGCGCGGCGCGACGGCGCGATGGGAAGGAGCGGCGAGAAGGGCGGCGAGGGGCGGGGCGGAGGGCGGCCTGGGTACAAAAGACAGAAGTGCCGACACCGTTGTCCCTACAGCGTGTTTTAATATATTTCTAAGTACAATTCGTGTCTGATTTCGGAAATACAAATACATTTTGAATGGTTAAAAACAAAAAATTAAAAAAATATTTTGAACATCAGCCAGCTGAAAATATATTTATCTAGTAAATTATCTCTCAAAGCTTTTATATATTTAATTATTCTAACTAAACATAGTACCCTTAAAAAACAAGTTCATAAAAATGTAGAAATGAAACTGTGGAATAAGATCACGGGGATATATATACACACATTCAATGCATACACAATTACAGGGTTCGGGGCTTACGTTCAAATTCAGCAGCCGTGGCACAGGGAAACCCGACGGCAGCGCTCCGAGGCGCCCAGCCGGGGAACTGCACGGCCCTCCTTTAAGATCCCGCTTTCACACACAAGGCTCCACGGAAAGCTGCACCAGCAATGCCGTTACTGACAGCGACGTGTCCGGAGTCAAAGCAAACCCCCCCCACCCAGCAGTAGTACATTGCACACACACGTGGATCGCACGCACCCATCCACAATTGGTCAGAGTAGTAAATCAGTGTACAAATTAAATAGTTCCAAAAATGTGCAAAAAAGTCAACGTTGATAGAAAAAAACACCTTTGTGTACATACATTACAAACTGTGCCCAGCATTCAACTGAGAGTAAAAACATTTACAGTGAGAAACTGATAGATTAAATAGAGAATTTAATGGCTACGTAAAAATGTACAAGAGAAATTTACAAAGTTTTATTCATAGCTTCATGAAAACAAAGTCTACGTTCCGACTGATCTACGTCTCCTCCATGTATTTACAGTGATTCTCCATCGTATGACTGCGGGAGGGCTGAGATGACAGAGGCGAGGCTGTAATGGACCGTGGGACTGGAGGGCTGATACCAACTGTAAGCTGGTAGCATGAGAAACCAACACTGGGAACTGACAGCCTACCGCCTGCTCAGCAGCCAAAACATAACCCTCGTTTTTAAACCCACGTGGGATAACCTTTCAGGAAAAGGATGGGCTGCGATTGGAGTAAGAGAAACCTCTGAAGTGTTTCCTGGGAGTATCCACTTTGGAGTGAAGTGTCCTCGTATCTTCCGACAGGGGCCCTGACCTCCACTCCTCATCACTGGACTCAGAGCAAGGACTGAACCATGAGATACAATTTTCATGTATATTAATCCAGTTCCTCTCCCTTTAAGGTAAGTTCACAAAAACCTAAGGTCTAGCCAAAGCGAGACCGCTAGCACTGCTCCTTTGGAACATGAGAAATGTGACCTCCTCCATTCTGCCTGACCCCAGAGTACATGCATGTACCTCTGACAGACCCACGCACTGCCACCCCTGGGCAGCAGGGCCCTGCACAGCCCTGCCCTGGAGCTGCAGCCCTGCACAGCACGGCTCCTCACTGCAGCTGCAGGACGAGGCACGGGCCGGGCGCACAAGCTGCAGGTTGGCTCAAAGCCTCCTTGGGAGCTTTCAGTGGCCACCATGCAGCAGTGTTAAGTCACGCCAATTAGGAAGGCCAAGTGGGGAAAATAAAAAGAGAAAGGAGTTGCTTTGTTCCTGAACAAGAGTATTGATTTAGAAGCCAGCTTGGTGGCAGTTCTGCCCCCGCACCCATGTGGCTGTGGGTGACATCTGGATCTCATGTAAGGCTGCTTCCCAGCAGCTCAGAGATGCTGTGGCACACAGCAGTGCAGGTCACAGCCCCTTCTTTATGATGTTCCAAAGCTCAGGCCTGGCTGCAGAGGCACCAGGTTTAGCCACCCCTCTCATCCATTTCTTTCAGAATAACAACAATATGATTAATTTAAAAAGAGTTTAAAAAGAAAAAAGGAAAAAAAAAAACACCACACCAAACCCTTGATTTTAACGGTGCATGAATTTTGCACACCAAAGCAGCATCTAACACCAATCTTTTAAATATGGGAAGTGTCTGTCACTGTGTACCAGTACCTGGTGGATATATGTGTGCCCACAAGTAGCAGTACTAACCCATGGACTGTCACTTGTGACTCTGTCTATGGGAATAGAAAAGCTTTGGTAATCCTATATGGTTGTACACTACAGACTTGTCATTGACACAAGACAGCAAGTTACCAGCAGGAGGAAATAGCCCTGGCAGTAATACTTTGCTTTTCCAGAAACACCGTTATTGACTCACACTACAGCACACAAGTTATGCTTTTCTGTACGCAGGACAGATTTTAAAGATTTAAAACTAATAACTAACTGTATCTCTGACCAATTTGCTCAAGTCTCTGAAGCTGCAGTCACACACTGCTCTGTGCTGTCTGCTACTGTCTGCCTGCTACACCTGCTGCATGCACCCATGGGCGCTGCAAGGCGGCTTTCAGTCAGGACAACGGCAGGATTGGCATCATCCAAAAAGAAACGGGCAGTAATTTAGTAGGACAACATCAGCCTCGCTGAGAGATCTGTTGATTTGCTTAGGCAGATAATGCTCCTGTGCACCAAAAGTAGACAGCCATTAATACAGCACCACATTTACAGATGTACCAGCTATAGTTTCACATCCACTATGAAGTCCAGAGGACAACCAGAGTCTGGTACCCAGAGCTGGAAGGCCGAATCCCAGCTGTGACAGCACTGCTGTAAGCTAGAGAAAAGTCATTTCCTGGTCTGCATAGCAGTCTACAGTCTCCAACGTGCCCATCTGAAACCTGTGCTCGAGTTGGAAGCACTCCAAAAAATGCTTTTAAAAGTTCTCAATTTAAAAGTCTGATGCAGTGATAACTAGAGCATGCTTTCCAACACAGTTAAGGGAAACCTGCTTGAGGCACTTTAGGGTATTCTCTAACACCGATTTGGTGACACGGAATTGTATGACAGCCATAGCATATCAATGTGATATTACAATATGGATACAATTAAGGCATACAGCTGAATCGTAGAATCATTTGAGTTGGAAGGGACCTGTAAGGATCATCAAAGCCCAACTTCAACAGGGAAAAGCTAAGAAAAGTAGTAACTTTCCATTCTGTTACGCTGAAAAGGCTGTTAAGCTACAATGAGAACTGCAAATCAAGCTAATAAAGACTAAGCTGTCAACAAAAGAAGTCGATGTACATTTACCTATTCACTTAACAAGATATGGATCTAGTAAGCCCTGGCACAGATATTTCCATCACCCAAATTAAAAATAAAACAATTTGCTCTGATATGACTGAAGCTTTCAGTCCCGCTCTACCAGCACGGTTAGTTTGACAGGACTGACAGTTACACCAGTAAAGCCATATTAGAGAAACAGCTGAACTTTTGTTCCTTAACATGTGAGACACGATACTAAAACTCCTCAGCAGGTCAGTCAGTCCTCTGCACTCACTGTGAACCTGGATTCTTACTGCTGGGGAGCACAGCTTCACAACAGCATTTACAGAAAAGCAAAACATAACCCTGCAGCAGTGTCACTTTCACTGGCATTATCTGGTTATTGGACTTCACAACTAAGAACAACTGAGGACTCTAAAATGCTGCTATCTTCACTAGTAAGACACCAGAAGTGGTGAGAAGGGATTTTGTTTCTGCAAACCTCTGCCAACGGAGCTGTAAGCACGCCGTTCCACGCGTCCTCTGAAATGTTAGAATTAAGGTTTGTTCATTATCATGCCAGTAGTCAGTGAAGTGTTTTGCAGACACCACATACAGATGTATAACATTATTTAATGCAAACTGGCTTCCTACATCACCCCAGCGCAACAGTGTTGAAGTACAACATGCAAGGGTCTGAGTATTAGCAAACCTCTTGGTCAAAGTCTGGTTTAGCTCCTAGCTCAAAGTATGTATGGTAATCATCACCTCAATTTCCTGCAAGTTTCTTAGGTCAGTAGGGTAAATAAAACAGTTCAGGCCTAATTCTGGCTAAGTTAGTAACATTGTGCTAAAACTGCTGGAACTGCCACAAGCCATTTTCATTTTAAAAGTGCTGTCTCCACATCAGCAGTTTTTGGATATTTCAAGACAAATGCATTCTGCAAATTGTTTTTTTCTTTCTTTCTTTCTTTTTTTCCAGGTTCCAAAACGCTTACCACTGTCATGACTGAATGCCACTTTCAGACAAGGCACAAAAGCAGTGACTTTGATTGTTCAGTATTAAGATCACGAGAAAGTGATATTGCAATACACATGAGCCAGCACTGTCTCACAAAAAGGACTCTATTAGAAAAGAGGATTCTGAAAATTTTCAAGCTTCAGAGAGTGCAGTTTCCTTTTAGAAGAGCATCTTGAAATGTTCAGAATGTTACAGGTAAACCTGGTTGTTTCCCTTTAAAGTCCTTTGTTGGTAATACAAAGTTTCCTTGCCTTTGCAGATATCACTGTCCACAACTGATTTCTCTCCATGTACTTTCAACTTGGTCTTGGTACCCTCCTGATCAGCTTGAAAGCAATCATTTCAATTATCTGATCTTTAAATTAGCTACATAAACTAGGCCCTGTGTTAAACCTCCCTCCATTGCTTTCATTAAACGTTGTTTATAAAGCAAAGGTCCTTTACAGCAGAGCATGCACAAATTCTTCCCGCAATCTGCTTTCATAGCTTTTATCCAGTCAGTCAGCAGAAGCAGACTTTCCTTTCAGCTTTCTAAATCTTCCCTGGTCAGGATTGTCCTTTCCACATTCAGAAAACCTTGCATGGTTGTGTCCCCTGACGGACAAAGGTTGAAGTCAGGGATAGCTCTAATAAATGGAACAGGGCACCACTCAGCCAAGGAGGAGACGGCCAAGAACTCATTCTTCCTCCTCTACAGGCAAAACAGCTAGGATAGATTCACATTCCTACTTAAGCTCACATACCAAATTTGGAAGTTAGCAGAACAATTGCAGAACTCCCATGAGTTTATTCGAGCGAGAATGGGTAAATTTACTACTCTGCCTCCATGCACTTCATAATTCTTCTATTCCCCTAAAGATGTCAAACAGAGCAGAGCCTGGGGACAATAATGCGGTCCTGTCAGAGTGGACAAGGGTCACAGTCTCAGCCTGGTCTGTTTTTATAAAGCAAAAGCAAACAATGAATCATCCAAACAGTATACATTAACTCAGTTCTGTAGTCCAATCGTTTATTTCCAAATTCCCTTTTAAGTTATTTATGTTGTGTTCCACAGAAATATGAAAGTTTGACTTTTCTGCTATAAAATTCAGTTACTAACTACCTCTGATCAGTACCAGCACTTCTCGACTGAGAAGCTCCAATTCAGAGTTTCTCCTTTGTTCTTTTATTATTTTCTTTGAGAAAAAGAAAAAGTTGATTAATGTTGAATTCATGACAGTTGGAAAGCTGAAGAACACCAATAGCTGGGTTACCAGGCTGGACTAAGCACGCTCATGCTATTCGATTGCTGGGGCTCTGTGCTTCGGGCCTCTCCTTCACACAGCTTTGTGCTGTGCCTCCTTGATCATCGTTACCTTATGAAAAATAAAGCAGGGTCTTTCTTCTCTGTGATTTATTCCTGGTGCTAAAATAAGTTTAATTTTATTTTAGGAATTTTTAGCACATCCTAGATGACTGAACTGTGTTACTAAACCAATGCTTACAGTGCATAAGGGGAAGGATTTTATATTCTTTAGGCACTTGATGTTGACATACATTCCATCCTAGCGCCCCTCAACAGCTTTGAAGATGTTATTTCCTACGGATCGTTCTGAATCGTGTAACTCATACTGCAGAAGGATCAGTCACTCTCTTTCCCCCAGACATTCATGGCATCATGGAGGAGAATTCTCTCTCAACACCTCTAATATTTCTTATCTAACATGATAGTCTCCCTGCAAGTGTATGTAACAGAGGATTTTCTTTGGCAGATACAGCAGGAGACATTCTCCTAAATATTTACATCCAACAGCTGACTCTTTTCTATTATGGAAATATTCCCCTTGCAGTACAGCAGTTCCTAGGATCAGGTCCATCATCTGTTTACCTGTAATTCTTTTCCTGTTAAGAATATACGATAGAGATTTTGCTCTAAAACTATCTCATCAGTGTTGAGTTCTTTTTTGTTACTGTTATTTTCTTTTTGGTCACACAGAAGTACCAGTCAAGACACGCTTTTGTACAAAGAATTCCAAGTTCTTCCAGCTTTATAATTAACTCTCAGAACCGTGTGATCCCACTTAAATTACACAATGCAGAAACTCATTAAATTGCTAAAATATAAGAACTTAGAACTCTCTGCTGCAAGTACCTGTAACGTAACAAACAATCACAGAGGAGTACCTTCTTGTCCTCTGGCTGCGTGTCTTTTTCCCTGCACCCTGAGTCAGTCAGCGGTGTCAGAAAAAAAGTCACACAGTTCCTGACTGTCCAATCATTTCTATTATTTTTCCCTCTTTAAATAAGGAACAAACGTGTACTAAAGTGCTTTATCTACATGAACCACATCAGTACATTATAGAAACAAGAAGTTCTAGTCCCGGTGGGAGCAGGGAAGGGAAGATTCTCATTTTAGATACAAAATTTAGATTGTTTACAATCTAAGTGAAACAAAGATTCAAGAGAACGCGTTCTCTCTCTTGTCTTTTTTCTCCTTTTTGTAAAAAATAAAAAATAAAAGTGCAGTCAAATAGAAAATAAATGCAGCAGACGCAAGCTGAGTTGAGGCAGGCTGTTAGTGATAGTGTGCAAACGTGTGTCTTAGCAGTTCATCTGCAAATGGTCGCAGCTTGGCCTCGATAAAAATCCTTTTCAGGAAATCCCGAGCATGGTCTGAGACATGAGGTGGTAACTGGGGATTGGTTGGCTGAGTGGCAATCTTAAAGATGGCAGCCATTGCTTCAAATTCTGCCCATGGGGGCTTCTCAGTGAGCATTTCTACCACTGTACAACCTACGCTCCTGAAACAGAGGCAAAAGTAAGACAGCAGGTTACAACAGAGTTGTACTCTTGTAGGAACACAGGAAATATCAAGTAGCTTCTGAAGTACCACAAGGAAGAGCAGTGTTCACTCATCTCTACAATGCAACTTTGATTGAAAGCAGCTATCCGCTATCACAGCGTTCAGCAAATCACTATCTGTGCATCTCCAACGCATTGCCTCACTGGGCCAAACGCTAGTATCTCAGTGAAGGGCTAACGAGGTATTTATTCAGGCACTAATGGTTGTGTGAAGGCATTGCCACTATTCTCATTGACATCTCAGTGCTCAGCAGCTGATACACACCTTCATGCGAGGTTGGTTCAAAGAATACTCGTGTGATTGCTAAACCAACGGGCTCACGAACTGCCGCAGCAACAAACCCAAGATTTCAGTGCTACACTCTCTAAATGCACACATGTGGTTGCCAGTGCTCTCGTGTGTTATCTTCTTCAGCTTAAACCCCAGAATAAAACACTCCAACTTCAGATGACAAACACTCGCATTCTGCTGAGAAACCGCCCATCCTGAAATCATCACGAGTTTTGTTAGAGAAGTTTTGTAACATACCAGATATCTGCTTTTCTGCCGTACCCTTCTCCACTGATAACTTCTGGACTCATCCAGTACGGAGTTCCTGTGACAGACTTCATTCCTGTACCAGACAGACAGATGGTCTGCAGTCGTTTGCTGGCACCGAAGTCACCCAGCTTCACATTGCCTGCTGAATCTCGCAGAATATTTGCTCCTGGAAGGAAAAGAATGCAGCTTTGGTGTAGAGAGCAGTATTAAAAAAGCTTGGGTTCAGTAATACAGTGAGAGATGGGTCTGGCGCTCACAGAGGATTTCTCCACTCCTATTACTCTATTTGGAGGTTCGGTAAAATGAACTGTTAACGTGTCTTTTGCAACCTAGGCCTTTCCCAGAAAGTTTCAATTACTTCGGAACTGCTGACGAAGAAAAGAAATGTGCCACGTGAGGGCAACAACCTGAAACAGGGAATTCTCTTCTCACACTACTAAAAATGCCTCGAGTCGGTACTGAAAGAAAATCTCAAACTGTGTCACAGACTTGCTCAAAATACTCATCTGCATAACAGAAATGTCATTGTTATTTCACCTTTCTGGGGAAAAAAAACCATTACTGATACAAAGCAAAAGGAAAATTGTAAGAGTTTTAGAGGATACAAAGCTTGTTCGCCACACCTATTTTGCACATCACCACCATCTTCCCACATATCTCTTGCATCTTCTTTTTTTTTTCTCTTCATATCACTCTTGCAGCTTTTACACATCCCCTTTATCTATCAGCAAAAAGTAAGTACATCAATTTCCTGGCAGGAGAGTGCAAGAAGTGTGAGTCACTGAGGTCAGGGGAGTCACCTCTGCCAGGCAATTCTGTAACAGTGAAAGGCTGAGCAGTTTCTGCGTAGCTGATAGAAACAAAACTCAGTTTTGTGTCATGATGCTTTCCTCTGTACATTCCAACCGCATGTCATGATCTTTTGGTATATTCAAAGCTACTTAAATTCAGAAGGAAATTTTATCATGAATGCTTTGCAGACAGACACTAGGGAAACCTTTTCAGAAGTCTGCTAGAACACTCAGTTTACAACAGTGACAAGAATAAAAGAATCATGATTGCTTTCCATCAGAGTCAGTATTTCAGTATCCCACGCTTAATTTAGTCACACCTGGCTGACAGGACTGAAAAAGAATTTGTAGTAAACAGCATGAAACTGTGCCCAAGACTGTCCTCCTTCTTACCTTTAATGTCTCGATGGACGATCATGTTTGTGTGCAAATAGAGAACTCCTTCAAGGATCTGCCGTGTGTATTTGCGAGTCACGTTCTCTGTGAGTGCTCCATATGATTTTAATTGGTCTTTGATGGACCCCTATGGCAAAGAAGTATAGAACACTAATGTTCCTAGGATCACAAGTGGTCTGATACAATTATGCTGAACTTCAATGATGATTACATGGCCAAAACACAGACATTTTAAGCTGCAGGGCATTCTGGGTCAACTTAAAGCACAGATGTAGTTTTGTGTCCCTTAAAAAATTTTTTTTTAAATCAAAGCTTCTACACAAAAGAGGCTGAACAGAGAAGTCATACGTTAAACCGTTAAGCCATTAACTCTAAAACTATTGAGTAGCTCAACAGCAACAGCGTGTTGTACAGAAAAAGGGAACGTGTAAGTAAGCACCACTCTTGGTTCTTTTGATAATGAAATGGTGATACTCAAGTTGGTCAACAGGTCGGTTTACATTGTTAGTTTATATCTGAAGGGGAAAAAAAAGAGTTGTCAAAAAAAAAAAAAACAGGAGAAGCTGGTGGGTGATGCTTTATAGCTAAATAAAAATTAAAAAGTAAGCTTAAAAGAACATCAAGTCAAAAATTCAGTTCTGTAACCATCGTTGCATAACATGGCTCTTTTAATCAAAGATTATTGCTGCAATACTGTCTTTCAAATCTCAGATGAATTCAAGAATCCTCCCAAAACAAAGCCCAAAACTCACCTAAAAACACACTTTTCTTCCGTGAAGTACAGTGCTGCAACTATTCAGACATACAAATCCTATGTATAAAGCACATTTTATTTAGCTCTGCTGACCCCACTTGGTGAGAAAATGAAAATTGGCACTGTTCAGAGCTGAGTACACTTCTTACCATAATGGTAACAGTAGAACAGTTCTGCATGTATCCAAGTGCCACAAACAAAGAAAAATTTTGGTACGCACTTCTTCCCACACCTATCTTTGCTAGCTTTCTTGTTTTAAAACAATTCCGCAGTTGATATGTTGACAAGCCAAGAGCACAAAGCATTACAAAACGAAATATTAAGTTCAAGGAGACTCAAGAGTGTATAAACGATGCAGGCTTTTCAAAAGGTTGCTCAGCACTTCATATGCCACAATCAAATGCAAAAACATTCTGTACAAACCACAACAATTTTGAAAAAGCAAACAATGTAAAAGACATGGAGGGACTGCTACAGATACTTGTTGGTACCCAGCTATTGTTTCATTTTAACTTGGACACTTCTTTAATACCTGTGTGCCCTTCTGCAAAAGCTGCCCCCTTCTGCACTTTTTGCACTTTTTTGGGTGCCTACCGCATCCCACAGAAATGATGGGTGAGGTGACTGTTTCCTTGCTTACCCCTGGCATGTATTCCATGAATATAGAGAGTGTTCTTTCAGGTGGGTCCCTCAAGAAGCCGTAATACTGAACGATCCTCTCATGCAGCAGATTTTTCAGCAACTGAATCTCGCATTCAAGAGCGTTTACTTCCTAAAACAACCACAACAAAAAAACCAACAAAATCAAACACGTTCACTGAATGAGGATTTGCCCAACAATTTTAAAATGTGGTGTGACACTAAAATCAGTAACCAAGCTAATTCATTTCAGCTATTAACAAAACAGAATTCTTAATGAAGACATGGAAACACGTATTAAAACACAGAAAAGGAAGTTTAGTTTGTAACACTTTAGCTTATCACACAGCACCTCTGCACTGTACCTCATACCTTGCTAGTTTCTGGACTATCAGGATCAAACTGCACTTGTTTAACAGCCAGTTCTCTTCCGGTATCAGCATCATAACACAGATACACTCTGCCAAATGCACCTTGACCCAGCAGTTTGCCAAGTCTCCAATTAGTTGGAGCTCGTGGTGCTGAAAAAGTAAACAAGATTTCTGTTTTAATGTAAGTTTGTTATTCAGCTGATTAAAAGAAAAAACAACACATAGAAAATAACTTTTTCAAGGACTACATTTTTCAACAGAAGATCACACTTTCTCTATTTAAGTTACAAATATCAATAAAACTTCCTGTAAGATGGGAAATTTACTACAAATTAATCAATTTCTTGTAAAGTTAAGCATACTTAAGCAGTTAACAACAGCTAAGCTGAAAAACAGACAAAGTGTGTTAAGCAAACTTAGTAACACTGTTTTAAAAATGAAGGCCTAATCAAAAGCTGCCAACTACTGAAGTCATTGCAAGGAATATTTGCTCCACCACAGACATATAACATTAGCAACAAAGGCCAACAAGTTACTCCAGCCTACATAAGCTCCAAAGTTCAACACATCAAAAAGATTTTCATAGTGATTTGTTACCATAGACGTATATTCCATGGAAAAATCTAAATGAAGACTGGCACAGCAAGCAATGAAAAAAAATAGAGAGCACGAAATCCTGACTTTTTCCTATTAGGGAGAGAGCAGCACATTGTTCGATCACATTTCTTTCAACATGACAAACTTGAAAGGTAAGAGTTTTGCAGCAGATGTCACAAAGTTCCTTAACTTACAGCGACTGGGCGGGCTGATGTCCATGACTGTCAAGGTAGGATTGTCAATGTCGCTCCCCCTCCTCCTCATCCTGTTATCCTCGTATTCTGGTGTGAAGACACTGCTCCCACTGCTGGTGCTCAGCGAGTGATCAGTGGGACTGAAACTAACGGGTGACCGGAAGCTGTTCCCCTGCGTTCTCCTGGCTCTTGGAAAGGTTTTACGGCCTTCAGTGTTACACAGAGAATACCAACGTTACGCTACAAACAAACACTACTATGTCATCTGTGTATGCAAATGCTTTATGAATTCTACACAGCATGGTTCACACCTCCCACGCCATATCATGTGATGCAGCAACGATGACATTTTCCAAAAGTTTCAAACTAGAAATTAATACAGATGTTACATAAACATTGGACTGAATGGTTTAAATTAGAGTGTCCAAAACTGCAAGCAGCAAAATGAGGGCAATTTCTACAGCTGTCCTGAAGTTAACTGACATGCTTCAGAAACAGAGAGGAGGCTGTGAGGGCAGGAAGGGAAATGCCCCACCTACATCTGTATCACTAACAAGGTGGGAAGAATACATTCCTGATAAAAAAGACAGATGTTGACATCTCAAGGATGCCCAGGTTACCATATTCGCTCTTTAAAGAAAATAAGAATAAAAAGTAGAGAAAGCTCTACCCTTGGAATCAACAGGGAAAGCACAAAAGAAACATCATAAATATAGCATGACTTAGCAATGGATACGGCACTGGAATAAAAAAGGACACGTATTCAAAAAGGTAAATTACATCCAGATGCTTAGAATAACATCAATATATTCAGATAACAAACATTTTTAGGTCAGCACAGCTTGATGAAGTTTCATCCAAGGGAGCTTCAGCATAAATCGCTGAAGGAACATTTGAGTCATTAAGTATTACACCAGAGATGGAGTTCCCAGAGGACTGAAGAAGGCAAGGGAAACATCTTGAAGGAGTGGACTCATTTACACACTAGTCAGGCCAATTTCAGTGCTGTGATATGTGAACAAATTATTAAGCAGTGTTATAAAAATCACTGAGAAGACATGATAAAACAGTCAAAATTGATTTGTCACATGTAGCTAATTCAATGCACCATTTCAAGAGGACATTTCCTCAAGCCAACTCACAGAGTTTTGGCTGCCACAAGATTGAAGAGAACATAAAATAAGGGCCTTGCACGAATGCTTGAAAAAATCTTTAAGGAATGTATTAAGGTTTGATAGAAGAAAGTTAAGGAGAAACAAAACAGATTCTTGTGAGATTTAATTTTACTTCAGGCAGCAATTACTTTTCAACTCTGTTACAAAGGAGTAACTAGTTACGCGCTGCATGTGCACCATTAAGATTTCATTAGATAGATTTTCTTCTTTAGATTTTAAGAAGAGAAAAGCAAGTTAATTATGTAGGACTCCTACAGTTTTCACACTTACCATCATTGTAATCCTGCTGATGATATGAAATATGGTATCTGCGGGGATAAGTTCCCCCCTTTCCAAACTTCTCAAATATTGGGATATCATACTCTACTAGAAAATACAAAGATACATTTCAAAGTTAAAAATACAACCAAGGCATACACATTAATCATTCTGGTATTATAAATTTAAACGTGGGTAAGAACACAGAATACATTTCAAAGCTGAAGCTTCAGGGCAAAGAATGCTATAGAACAAAATCCGTACAAAACCAACAAATCCAGCTAAAAGTTCCAAAGGATTTCAAGAATATAACATTAAATTGTTTGTAATCTCTTGCTTAAAACAGTACCAGAGGACTGCAGCATGCCCAGTTACTAGAGACATTAATAGACACGTTCTGAAAAATAACAGCTCAACAGGAAAAGTGACAGAAATTCAGTTTAGTTTAAGATTTAAAAATGAACAAACACAGAATGCTGGTAAATGAGTCAACACATCCTCAATTACTAAAACACAGCCAGTAAGTCCTCCTTTATAATTTATTACGTATTCATATTTAAGTTGCAACTCCTTCACGGATAAATAATTGGTTAGAAAATGAACACATAAGGAGGAAGCAGTGCTCAGCAGTTCCACAAGAATCTGGGCTACAACTCATACAGTTTAACTGCACATGAGTTCTGCAGACAGAACAAATAGTGAGGTGACAAAATTATTTTGAAAGTATGTTATTTGAAGCACATCCACAAAGATACCTGAAAAAACTTTCAAGGTTACCCATCACACTTGGTGTCCTGAATCGTGCACAGCAATTTGGATTCAAGCCAGAATACGGTATGAAAGCAATGTTAGTGGTGATGACTCATTAATTTATAGGCACAGCAAACAGCTCTCCTTCATTCTTGCACTTCGGAATGCTTTCAGTTACAGCAGTTATGAGCACTTAAAAACGATTCTCTTTTTACAAAGGATGAAACAACAGCTAAACACTAAGAAAATTACTGAAGGACTACGCACCAATTTAAAGATGGACACTGCAGTCCACTTTAACCAATCTGCGTGCCAGTAGGCACTGCATCAGTTGTTTTTTTCCCAGCAGCAGAGGTACGTCCTACTAAACACAACAGCACTGGTGTTACACACATTGATCAGAAAAAAAACTTTACAAGCTATGTTTCATTGCATCTTTCACTGTGTCTATTTGGATTGCATTTTGTTGCTATGCCTTCTGCTACCATTACAAGCTTATGTAAAGTAACACCCCTTAATATGAACTTCCCTTTCGATTACTTGCAAGAGGAAGTACCTGGGAAAGCCATTGTGGCCAGCCAATTTTGCCTACCTGAGAATTCCTGATGATTATCTGGATAGCTCTGTGCTCTTGGCATCCGAGATTTGGGATAGTTGTCTCTAGAAATGTGAAAGCAAAGTGTTTTAAAATCGCAACTACAATAACTAAACAATCCCACTGCATTACAATGCTTTATGGCCAATGGGAGCTTTATGCTATACAAGTTGCTGCTCACAAATGTGGAACTTGATCTAAACATCAAATCTATTGGTACCAATAATCATTCGGCATCAGCAGCAATGGAAAACCTTGCTCTTTGGCTTCAGTGTGGTAAGACACCAGCAGACTGTGCCACTCACACCAGTAAAGCCACAAAGGAATACTCAAGTTTACCACTCTGATGGCTGAACACAGGGTTTATAAATGCAAAATCTCTTACACAGCCTGCAAAAATCCCTCAAATTTAACCAAACGAATGCAGAATGTTTTAATGCCTCCAAATATTTCCTCTTTTCTCCACAGAAGCCATAGGATTAAGTTAGTAATTTTAATGAGTTAAAGAATGATGTAGAATTTTTTGGTTATTATATGTCACACTAATTAACACATTAAGCAAGCCAATAAAGATGACTAATGAATGCAAGCAGTTCTTACCCATCTAAAGGGCTGTCAAGTGACGGACAGCTTCCTGAGCCAGAATTTTCAGGACTGCTCAAAGACAGTGGATCCAGCATCTAATAAAAACCATGTACATAAAGATCAGAAAGTTGTTTGTTTTTTTTTAATGGCTTGAACATTCATGCTTTGAAACTCTGAATTAAAAAAAAAAAAAAAGAAAAGAAACAACACTAGTAACAAACAAACAGGAATTACTAGAGAAATGAATGACTGCCATAGTTAAACCTGCCTCAAATATTTTTCCCTGAAAGGATTCCATCACTCTGTCGAGCAGAATTTAGTGAAGGCATTTCATATTCAACAATGCTCGTCACACACTGAGCTGCACTCCTACACTCTTCCTGTAGACACCACTGTCTCCTATTATTACAGTATTACCAGAACCAATCTGGCCTAACAGAACAACAACAAGGCCTCCAAAGAGACAAAAAGCTAAAACAGCTTAAAGAAAAAAAGTGGATTTTGTCGCTATCAAAGAAAAAAGCCTCAAACGTGACACAGATAATGAATGCAATTTATATAATCTCCTAATTGCTTTCAGTTTGACCAACCAGAGCCCACAGAAAATAGCAGAAATAAAACACTGTAAAAAAGCTTTAACTCATCTATCTCTAGTTGGGACTCCAAGCAAGGAATGCAGAATTTTAAATACAACCAAACAGTAAAAAAAAGGAGATAGGAGAAAGAGCACAACTTTTCACCCAAATCAAATCACGTTCTATATAAAATAAACTTCCACCTGAAGCAGGAGCTTACAGACACACCACAGGGCTTTTTTAGTCTCTAAACAGTCCTGATTTCCCAGTAAGCAGCACCCCCAAGTTGCGTGAAATCTTCCACGCATCAGCGGGAAGAAATGATAAAACTGAGTATCCACGCCAGACCCATTATGTAATGAAAATAAATACCAACACTTTTTCATTGCTCAAATTGAATCCAAAGAAAAATAAAAAGGGTGCTCCTGACAACCAGCTGTTTTCCCCCATCTAATATTCATTTTGTTTATGCCACACTACCACCCTTCAGTCCTGATCATTACTTCTTTGTCTCTGGCAGTAAAGCAATCTGAAATTTTCATATCTTTATTTATTCAAGAGACATGGAAGAGGTATCTAAATCCTGAATGCAGCACAAACCAGTCTACCTCTCACAAACTACGAAAAGCTCATCTGCTGTTTTAAATGAGCTTCTTCCTCAAATAGTTTGTTTCAATATTCTGTACAACATCTGCTGCTCCCTATGAATTGGATGACAGTTTATTGCTGTAAATTAAGCAGTTGCCCCTCCAATTTTTATGGCTTGTGCTGCCTCTTAAAAGTCTTGGGTCCATAACTTCCCTAAGACTCACTGAGGTCTTGCTGCAAAAATAGTGCACAGAAAGTGAGTCTGTACTTTACAAATTCAGACACTTAAAATGAACTCTCTATTTGGAAAGATTAAATTCACCAAAAGTTCAGTGATTATATTCTCTTTTATTGGGCTGAGCAATGAGTCCAGGAGGCAGCCTGGTATGAATTAACCTAACATCCTATGGAAGTAAAATTCCTTTATTTAAACCCTGCTGACAACTCATATAGCAACATTTACACAACAGCTTACACGTGCTCAGGAGAGAAATGGTCCTCACAGCTCATCCACTGGGCCAGTCAGTGACCAGAATGACTCAGCCCGGGCCAAAAGCAATCGCTTCACTGAACAAATCCAGGCTCAGGCTGGAGGTGACCATGCGGTTACAATAATGAATAGCATCCTGGACTGGAATAAGAAGATTCAGCTCCTACTCCCAGTTCAGCCATGAAAATTGTGCAACAAGTTGCACAATCTTTCTGCCACTATTTTTATTCTGTCATCTGTCTCTCATTTATTCAGCTCATTTAAACAACCGCCTCTTGCCGTTTGCAAATACCATTACAACACCAACAAGAAATTGAAATTATTTCGACCCGAAGCACTATTTTCTCTCCCTAAAATATATTACTTGTCAATTCTGAGAAGCATTCCTCCTCCTTCTCCTGATGTTTCTGATATTCAGAGAGCAGGATTTCCATAAATGCTAAGTGTGCTAGTAAGCCCACGCCAACAACGCAAATGAGATGAGAACAAACATGGTGTGATCCTCACACAAAAACAGAACTATTTAAGTATTTTATTCGCTGTCCTCCTGCCTCTCCCCCAAAACGCTATCAGCTGAGTCCAAATAATCCAGACAGATCCAAAATTCTCTTTAATCCTGATTACTTCCACAAGTAGCAGAACTGTTACTACTTACATATTCTTCTTAATAAATGGTTTTGTGCTTTCTAACACGGGCACCTCTTGCTGTAATTTTTATTTTAGTAACTCATCTGTCATGAAAATAAAGAATACAATCCTTTTGTAGCAACAACTTAAATTATTTAAGAGACTGGCAGAGAAAAACAAGGCTCCTACTGGTCTAAATAACTGTAATTAACCTTCTCTCACAGATTACGTTTTCCAGGGGTGGCAATTCCATATCTTTCTTGAACAGCAGGACTTTGTAAATCTATCTTGCTCTGAAAATCTTTAATTTCCATAAATCACACACTACCTGATCCATGCTTTCTGGAATGAATTCACCCTCACTGTTGATACTGGTGAACGACCCATTTCGAGCCACCTGATGCAGCTCATCTGGAATGTATCCTGGGGGAGGTGAACTCCTGTCACGATTATTAGAACCTATTGAAAGAAAAGGTCTGGTAAGCGTCCTTGCAGCAACACAAAATGCAGAGACTTCATTCAAATGACCCTGGATTTATTCTCAATGATCCAGCCTGCCTGGACAACTTGTTGCTTGAGAAACTTCCCGAATGCTTGTTTCATAATTCCTGGTTTATAGCTTATGGAACATGTGGGGCAGGGTTGTCTCAGTTACGTTTAATGTTTTGCTTTTTTGCCCGGCCCCCCCCCCCAATGTACAGGAACAGAAATGTACCTATATAGCCAAATTATATTTCCTCTTTGGTACAAAACAAAAAGCCAAGCACTCTTTACCACTATTTTTCCATGCCAAGTAATGCTTTCTACCTCTTGAGAATTTTGGTTTTCCTTTGTAGAATATTTTATCTTCAAAAACACAAATATGTGCATTCATAACAACACAAACTGTCTGGAAAAACTGCCTGTAGTTTCAGTCAGATTTGGAAGCTTTCATCACACCAACTTAAAAACACAAATAGGCAAAAATGTTAGATCGATGCCAAGAAAAGCATCTCAAACAAATGTTCATATATTAAGATTAAAAATTACGGGAGTCTTAACTTGAGCAAGAAAATGTACTGCCATGTAAACTCTATAGCACAATATTTGTTGATGAGTAAGAGAAATATAAACAGGCTGTGCTGAGAACAAGAACTTCAGGAAGAGAATATTACTGAAGTTGTTACAATTACAGCTGTTGACAAGTGTAGCTCACCTAATACAGAAAGCCTCCTTTTTCTTTCTGTCACACCAAACACTGTATTATCTAAATCTTCCAGTGAGGGTAGGGGTTCCACATTATTTACACTGGGTGACTGAAAAAGAGTACATATTATGCACTGCAATTATCACTTTATACTCCTAACAATCAAAACACTTTACAAACTTTTAAAGCTTTTGTACAAAGTATTCGTGTCAATAAGTCAAAATCAAACTTATGAACTTATGCCAAAAATCATCTATTTTAATAGCTCATCCTAAATATTTGAAATCATCATCAATATATACCATTACACAGAACGCTAGCAACATGGAGGCTGTTAGATATTAACGAAGTAACTCAGCATTTAGGTCTGCTGCTACACACCATACAAAACCACATAACTTAAAGAATGGTTTCAAACAACCAAAGTAGCATCAAAACTATGCACTTCTCAGTTCTCTATCACATCATTATCCTACTAAGGAGCACGTGTCAACCACTGTAAAGAAGGCACACAAAAAAGGAGGCTCAGTACCTATGGGGAAGTTCAGACGACTCAGTACAAAATGCTAATACATGCTTTTTCATTGAACTGAAGAAATGACCCTGAATATTTTCAACTGGAAAAAATTCATCTTTAAGACAAACTACACTTTGGTCTGAAAACTGAGGAAAAAGGCACTACGAATGTCAACTCATACCTGTGTATTTCCATGTATTACAAGCAATATCTTGAGACTCTTCATATGAACACTACGGTCAAGCAGTTCAACAGCTTTGTCCAGGTCATCCTGTGTGGTTAATGGAATTACAAGCTACAAAAAAGAGAAAAAAAACTGTTAATAAACAGATGCCTTAAATAGGGCAAAAGAAAGAATTAACTAGTCAGATGCAGGGGAACAAATAAACTGATCTATTCCCTTCCATTCCAAGCCAACAATAAGATTCACCAACAATCCCTCAAGTTACCATCAAGATGCACAGAAAACAAAAGCCTGAAGCTCAACCTTAACTCTTCTTTTAGGGCCTTCAACAGCCACAGCCTGTCAGAACAAGTCTTCACAGTGTGGAAACAACCATTTCACATATGCACAACTTCTCCTACAGTTTCAGAGAAATGTGTGCAACAGTGTCAATGTATTGTCCATCTCAATTGAAATTATGCAAGTATATAAGAACAAGTCTTATTTTCTAGGCTATAAAGCTTATTTTTCTATTGCACAATATTACAGTTCCATCTGTTTGAGACATGATTCATTGAGATATGTTCCATACCATTGAACAGTTCATGCATCTCATGCCTATCATGATTTAGACAAGACCTATATTTGAGAACACACACATCAAAAATTTGGGATTTTGTCACAGGAGTGGCTGTCAATGCTAACAAGGGCAAGTTTCTGCCTTAAAATAATCAGTGCACAATTCACAGAGGATTTAGAAAATACAAACCACTACCTCATTATTGCAGTAATGTAAATCCATAGTCTGTCCAAACGCAACCTTAGCTTTAGCTACAAGATCTTCAAGTTTGACAGGCCTGGGTAATTGGAGTATCCTGAAACACAATTTTGGTTACAGAGAATTTTCATCCATTACTTATGAAAATCTGCTGTCTCGTTACTTAAAAATACTCTTACAATAAAATTTATTGCTAAAAAGATCAAAGGAAGACCTGCTTTATTTCCTATTCTTTATGCTTTGTATCACTAAAAAAATGAGCATAAAATTAGACTCAAAAAGAAGTACTCAACTTGCCTACACACGGCCTCTTTCTCAATGCTTTGCCTCCATTTCAAAGGTAAGTTCTTAGAAACTTCTACATGCCCTACTTCACAAAACGAAGTAAACCAGCAGACTGATGGGCTGACAAGCAGGAGTGCCAGTCCTCATTTTCTGAAGATTAAAAAGAGTTTCTCATCTGAGGAAGATAACTAAAGATTGCCATTTTTTATAATAATGAATTACACATTCAAATGATGAGTTCATTAAGTGCCAATGTACTCCCAAAAGAATGATTCAGTTGTAGGTCAAAATTTCCAATTTTCATTTAATTGGATGTCCCTCCGAACCAAAAAAGCCCCACATGCATTTACCTGACCTTTTGTAATAGAGAACTATTGTATCCTTTGGAACAGAACACAATTACACAAGTGACTAAGCTAGTGAGGTACACTCACATTTGAAGTAGAACGTACTTAAATTTTATTTGGCAGAAAACAAAGCAAACATTATTGTCTTTGTTATCCCTGCTGTAACAGGTACACTGGTTAGGTAACTATTTCTTATTGAAACGTGCCCACAGATCAGGACATTTGCAGTTAGAAATTATTATTATATATTATTATTATTATTACAAAAAAACAATATAATGGAATAAAAGCCATATCAATTGCCACTGTAGTTAACCATTTGTTTAGCAGGTCTGGATCTGCCCATCACAGTGCATCCTCCTTGGTACAGAGTGCCCCATTCATCACTCAAAGGAACTCCGGAATCACTTCCCTTTCCTACTTCTTATTTGAAGAACTAGTGAGAAGCCATCGCATGAAATAATGAAATGATGCAAGAAAAATAAGTTATCTTTAAATCTACGTATTTGGGTAGTGAAAGCACTACAACTCATGCAATGAGCCTGGTCTGCCCGGCACCCTTGGACAAGCAGACTCAAGTTGCTTGGAACAAACCCAAACACAGCCAGACTTATCACCACTAAGGCTTGGGGAATACACTGGTGCATGCACTCACTTCATGTTTCTTTCATAAGGAATCGTTTAATGCTGCCAAAGTGAGTTAAGGTGGAATGCAGAAATGCATGGCTGAGCAAGCTGGCAGCAGGTAAGCAGTTCTGTTTTACACACACACTTCTGCTTATTTCACAAGAGATTCCAAGGTAGAGAAGTCCCCCATTTTAAAAGCATTTTAAAGACTTATTTCCTCCAAATTACTTGTAACACTCAGCCGTTACTAAGTCTGTTAGCTGAGATGTTCAGAAACAATGATAGAAAGTTACTGAAGAACGTTAATATCCAGGGAATCAACTGATCTCTTCCTAACTTGCCTAACGAGGAATCGCACACTGTAACCAGCATGGAGACACTCTTCTATTGCACACCATTAAGGACTGCCAAGAAGTAGCAGAGGTTTTACCGCAGAGCAATCTGTGCTTAAGGGGATTACCACCTCTATTGACAAATAGTGTGACCACGGTGTTATTTCCCCTTTCATTAAGTATCTTCCAAGACCTCAGAACTATTTTTGCACAGGTGCAATCCTTTCTGAAAGAGACAGCTGCAGTTGCCTGCAAACCAGATCTGCACAGAATTGGTGACAGACTTCTGCAAAACTTCCTGAGCACTCATCACAGCAGGGTTGAAGGGTGCACATCATTCACCTCTCATAAGCAGAAAACAAATTCTGATCGTTAAAAAAAGTTTTATAATAATTATAAATTTGACTGTGTTTTCCTATTACAGTACTCAGACTCATTCCTTCACAGCACAACCCACTACTGATAGTAAGGATTGAGGCTCCAGGTGTCAGAATAACAACACATTACCATGCAGGTGGTAACTGCATGGTGCAGCAAAAAATAAATCTGCTGTTTTGTTCACATTTAAGATTTCAGGCTGCAAGTAGCAATGTGAAGGGTAAAAGTATAAAAGATATATTAAATATAAAAGTATAAAAGATATATTCATGCATACTTATAACCCAACACACTAAACAAGTTAGTTCTCACGATAAAAACTAAATTTAACGATAAAACCTATGCATCCAGCTTACCTTTTTTCACCTCGATGTTCAAATTTGACTCTAACATCATTCTGTAACAAAAAGGATACAGAAGGACCACTATTAGTTTGCTACTGCCTTCTGTAATGAAAGCAATGAAATTTCATTCAATAATAATCCCAAGTCATAAGAAAAACCATTAAGCACTCTGTATGACCTTCCTGTTCTGATTTACCCAGCATTGTTAACAAGCTGCTTATGCTAAGATATCAGGAGAGGCTTAAAATTGGGTAAAACATACAGAATTAATGCTTCTGTAAGTTAACATGTTATTTTAAAATCAGTATATTTTAATATTAACAGAAGTGTAGATTGAAGTTCAGCATGAAACTGAGCCCCAAAGAATCATGTACCACAAACACACACTGACATGACTGCTATGAGAAACAACAGGAAATAATTCATATTTTTAAATGATTCTGTCACAGCCATTCTTCCACACTCAGTGATGCGTGGGCACAAACACAGCACCTCTCTGCAAATGGACAGAAGACAACTATTCTTTCAAGCATTCATTTGTGCAGCTGATGAATATTTTCAACTACTGAGCTGCCTGTTCTTTTTAGTTTCGAGCTGAACAATGCAGCTGCTTTCCTTGTATGCAAAGAAGCTTTCTTCTCTGTTTTTAAATCAGAACCATCATTTATTTTTACAAAATGAACTGCAAAGATACTCGTTTTTTAAGCTACTTGGAAAGATACCTTTCCAAGCAGTGCACAGTGCCTCTGCACCCAGCAGCCTGTTGCATGGTATCATGGTATGGAATACTGATAAAACCAGGACAACTACAGTAGCTTCTAACAGCTAACAAGCTTTCCAGCAGCAAGATATTTTTATATATACCTAATTAATGATTTTCACTTGTCTTGTTCCCTGTTTTTTCATGACAGTAACAACAAATGACGAATAACGCACAAATAAATGAGGACAAAATAACAGTTCCCACAGTTTTGGGCTATTCATACATCAAGAAATACATCAACTATTTCATTTCAGAAGATAACATTATTTCAAAATGAAAAGCAAAGACAAAAATTCCTTTTCCATCTGTGACATCAGCATCAGTTGCTTGCTTATGACTTTCTTGAAAGAAAAAGTTGATGCCTTTGCTATCAGGACAGGTTTTAACGTAGCTGAATGTTGTGTGCAAGAAACACAACTTGTTTCATACATATTACCATTTAAAACCACGTTAAGCTAGCATCCATGCATCCAATTTCCTAATAACCAACATATCTATAAATATCCACAGCCACGAGGTTATCAAATTGTGGTACAAAATGTTTAAACCCAGAAGAGGCTCAACTATATTTGCCTAACTTTCTAAATATTTTTATATTCAGATAATTATGGATCATGTCTGTATATTACCTCAACATCTACAGTCAGAGTTGAGAACTCTCATGATACCAGCAACACACAACTGTCACATACTGAACTTAAATAGTAAGGATAAGACACGGCTTTTTTTTGTAGTGTAAGAACCAAAAATACTCAAACGCTTTCATCTTTACTAGGTTAAACAGGCCTGTGCTAATTAATGGTTCATGTAATTGTGGTTTGGCAATTAAGGGTCCAATCACATGAGCATGCAGCTAATTGGATATTTACCCATACTTTTCTAACAGCCCTAACTTCTCTTCTCTGAGCTTCTCTGTACAGCAGTTCCAACCTACCAATAACTTCCTGTTTTTCCAGTTGTGCTGAACTGAATACATGTAGAAGAAACTACGGCTGAGAATTCTCATCTCCAGCATATGAACAAGCTAACAAAACATACAGACCACAGATGGAGTAAAGAACTATAAGAATGTTTCAGTTGCGTTGCTGACATGCAATAATGTGCCCAGCTGACATTTGCACAACCCAACATGCCTGTGAAATTCATTTTACACAAGCATTCTCAATAGAAGATGCTACCACAGCTCGACATTTAAAAATATTCTAAAAATAGTTGAGATCTCCATACATTGTCAGAACACCTCTGTGACATTCAGTTTATCAGGATCAGAGTCACTGAAGCATACGCTGCGTCTGGTCTGAAACCCTACAGCTTCATTTGGCTGCTAATTTAAGAACACGAACAAAGGAAATGGCAGCTAAGAAACCAATAGCTCATTGTGGCATGAAGAATAATTACACAAGTCACAGTAGGCCAGTTAGGTTTCATTGGGTTAGTAAAGACGTTGAAGAGTACCTGTTTTTTAGGTGAAGATGACTTTGGTTTTCCTGTTTCTTGCTGGGGCAGTGCAGGACGACTGGCCTTATGAAGCACAGCCAAATCCTGCATGATTGAATTCAAAGCTTGCTGCTCATCTGCTCAGAAGAAAAAGAGAAATGTAAATGACTGTTAAAATTGGAAGTACGGCACTGACTTATTTCCCAGTTAGGCAGGCATGATTCTAAAATCCATCCTATATTGCAATATATAATTGCCAGATTACATTACTGCCATGCTGCAATACATACAGTCTGTCGTTAGCAGTGCTCAAGGAAATAAACAGCTTGATCAGTAAATATACTTAAATGGCAGGTTTAAAAAGTAGGGCCACATCACACAAGAGATCTCCTAAGCAGCTAAATTGTTTGAGCACCGACTGAAGACCCACAGTCTCAATTTTTTCCTGTTCTGTAGGACTGCATATTTTTGGGGGGGCTTAGAGAATCAAAGACCACTACCTTATGATAAGAAACCAGAACTGCGCATTACTGTAACACTGTTTAAAAATTGGAGACAAAAGCCACCACTTCCTCAGTCTTGCAATGATATTTCAAAGGGCAAACATCAGAAGCAATAAAAGATGAAAAAAATTCCCTGAAATAATTTTAATACCAGCAGCTGTTCTTTCTCTTACAGGTCAATCCTTCTTCACTTTTCACCTCCAGCTACACAGTGACATACCAGAGCTTCTGGTTTTTAATGCTCATTCCTAAGAAACTCAAAAACAAAGGTAGCAGATGACTAATGCTGCTGCGTGGGGAAGTGCTCTGGAGTACACAAGTTCTTTCTCACTTTCTCCTCCTTTCCCCCCCCCCCCCGCCGCCATACACTTCCCCATTTTTGTGGCCATTTTTTTCCACCACTGGCAAAATTAATTTAGCCATGTGATGTACAAACATTACAATGTCATTGCTCTTGGAAGTTCACACTTGAAAGGCATGAGTAAGATTACTTCTAGCTGTTCAGGCTGAATGATCTCATCAACTGCTTAATAACAGTAGTGTAGTCTCCCTGCAATGGATGGCATTTGATGAAGTCTCAGTCCTATGGCAGACCCACAATAAATTATCAAATGTACAATATCTAAATGGTTCCCGTAGTTCTGTGTAAGCATGCAAAGCTTCAAGGAAGGGGTTACCTTTGACAATGTATCTTATGAAAGACAACTTTATTAAAACTTTAAGGAAAAGTCAATAGTAATGAATGGTAATTCAGTTCTACAATCTCAAAACACCACTCTATTTATAATACAACTAAGCTGCACACCTACCTAATTTGGGTAGAGAACCTCATTCAGGTAAAAAAACAAACCATAAGAACATGAACATATTCTCTTAAAGGAGAAAGATGCCTTGTTCAGTAGGAAAACCCAATCTTTCACCTCACCTCATTTCACACTGAAGAAATGACTGACTTACTATTATTCTGGTCTAAGAACAAACTGATCAAGGCTGAACAAACTCCACCTCCACCTAAAAAACATTGATTAAAAGAGGTCTATCTTAATTTACCAACTGTGAACTTACTCTTAAACTGTTAATTTACACTGATTTTCAAATGTCCAGTCCCATGTACCCCTGTTGCATGTAGGGTAGGTCCAATCAAAAGCAAGACAGTCACAGGGAGAAACAAGCACTGAACCAAGGGACAATTTAGAAGCAAGAGGTTAGACAAATCAAATCAGTAAACAAATTTGTCAAATCAGGAAATGGTGGGATTTCAGTGTTGTAATTTAATAGATTCCTAACAAATCAGAAAGCTGCGCTGATATTTAACAGCTCTGAGCATTGGTCACGTTGTCATTATTCATAAATGCTGCTTTTATAGATTTACATATCCCAGAGTTTAGTAGAAATGTTCAATGCCAGAACTGGTGGCATTCTTGCAGCTAACACTTGTTCCTTCTTCAAATGAATATGCACTTCATAACTTGCCACAAACCAACTATTTCATGGTGTCGTAGCCCATTCTAGCCCTCAGCAAGGTAAGAAAGACTTCTTAGCTGTTAGTTGGCATAGATATCATTCTTAACATTCACTGGGTAGCATATTTCATACAAAGGAAAGAAAAGCCTACTGAATACCCAGTGTGATTCAGTAGTCATCTCACAAAAAACATCACCAATCTAATTACTACTTTGTTACTGAGCACCAGGTAGGCTTCACTCACATAACAATAAAAGACAGACAAAAGCTTCTACTTTCCCCACTCTTTTTTTTTTGTTTCCCCTTTGAGAATGAGCACAACTAAGTGATGCCAAGATTGACAGTCGACTCCTTAAAAGAGCCAGTATGACATGAAAAACTGACATCAAATTTCAGATAATCCAAATATGCTACAGACTTAGAAAATCACAGTTATAGCACTCGAGCCCCGGCTTTGCATTACCATGACACAAGGCAGTATGATAACATGCTTTAGCACATGCTCAGTGTTGTCATCCCTACTCTCTCCCAGTCATTACCATTCAGAGCACAACAAGTATTGCTCAGTTTCTAATGCCACAAATCTCTATTTCCCATACTGGATTTTTCATTTATCACACAGTGAGAAGAAAATGCTTTACTCCAAAAAAAAAAAAAAAAGAAAGAAAAAAAGAAAAAGAGAAGTACTCTGAACAGCAGTAAAGCAGCTGAGCGCTGCCTGTCACGTAGACATTACATGAGTTAACACAGACAAACACTTCCTAAGAACATATAAAAAAAGGCATTATGTGAACGTTCTCGCACTTCAAGAGAAATGAGAAGTAACTGAATTTTTATGTAAGCTGCACTCAGAACTTACCCATAATGGCAGCGAGCCTGAAAACCTGAACTTCAGGGATGTGGTTGTCTCGTTAGCATTATTTTATTTCCTACAATGCAAATCCAAAAGACACAATTACTGAAGTGGCAAAGCAATGTAACGTAGTCAGCTTTTCACTTTTTGCAAGCTTTTCTTTCCCCCAATATTCTATATACCAAACATGCATATCATCTGCAAATAAGAAAGGTAACATCCCCAAAGCTTCTCTGGTCTCAGAGCAAGGCATACAGACTTTCAGTAGGCACAAAGACCTAAATACTCTCCCAAACTTAAGCTGATTTTAGCTTCTATCTACATCCCCAAACGACAATTAGTGGCTTAATTAGTCATATCACTCTACTACACGAGATATCTGCTACTCCAGGTTATAACGGATGGAGGCACCATCCTTGGAACAGCTTCCTGGATTTGGTGCTGAGCCCTGCCCTGCACGGTCGTGCTTTGAGCAGTGTGCAAAACAAGCAGCTCCAGAGGCCATCCTGCCATCCTCAGCCATTTTGAGATTCTCCTTCTATACAATTCTGTTACCTGCTGTTCAAAGCTATCTGCACGTGAAATCCAGGAAACAGAAGATAAATCTAGAGCCATCAGTATCTCCTGTTTATATGAACTAGAAAACCCATCAGAACAAAGAACATTACAGATACTTCCAACACCCCTGAAAACAGAAGTGATTTATCTTAAGATTTTATCCATTTGCCATTCTCACAGACAAGGCAAGAGAATATTTGTCATATTTGTAACAGCCCTAATGATTAAATTAATTACTACATACATCCAGTGCAAAAAACCCTATTTCTGGATCTCAAAGTAATTTCAGTTCAGTTAGATAGGTCTATTCATTCTGAGTTTCTGCCATCATGTCTCTTACATACCAATTTCACAGAAATAGCATTCATTTCATTAGGGAAAATAGAAAGCTTCAGGTACTTATGGCAGCACCTGCAAAGACTGTATTTTTCAGAAAGAAATTTGCACTGGAGAGCCATAGAACGTTTTCCCCTATATATTGCTTTCTGCCTACATAACAGATGACTGACACATCTGCTGTGTCTATTTCAAGCTCTATAACAGGAGAGCAGGCTCTCAAGCACTCTCTTGTACTACTCCCAAGGGAAAGAAATTACCCTCTGGTGCTTTGGAAAATACTAAAGTCTGCAAGAGTATGAGAAGTACACCTGGCCTGGGCTGCCCTCAGACTCAAGACAGCAAACCCAGCTTCCCAGGTATCAGCTCCAGCCTTCCTTGTGCATCCACCAGTAGGAAACAAAAAATCTTACACACAAACAAAAAATCTGTTATTTCATAACAGAATGATAAAGCTGTGAAGATACAAAAGCAATGATCTCGAACCAACCTTCAAAGAGAAAAGCAGGGGATGGATTTTCATTTAGAATCATAGAATCACCAAGGTTGGAAAAGACCTAAGAGATCATCCAGTCCAACCGTTCACCTATTCCCAATAGCTCCCACTAAATCATGTCCCTCAACACAACATCCAGCCTTTCCTTGAACACCCCCAGGCTCGGTGACTCCACCACCTCCCTGGGCAGTGCATTCCAGTGCCTGACCACCCTTTCTGAAAAGTAATACTTCCTAATGTCCAGCCTGAATCTCCCCTGCCGTAGCTTGAAACCATTCCCCCTGGTCCTATCACTAATGACACGAGAGAAGAGGCCGACCCCCAGCTCACTACAACCTCCCTTCAGGAAGTTATAGAGAGCAATAAGGTCTCCCCTGAGCCTCCTCTTCTCCAGGCTGAACATTCCCAGCTCCTTCAGCCTCTCCTCATATGGCCTGTGTTCCAGACCCCTCACCAGCTTTGCTGCCCTCCTTTGAACACGTTCCAGGGCCTCAATGTCTTTATCTGCAAAACCGGCAGTAGCCAACATGAAGACAGAATCTTTGAGCCTTGCTCTTGGAAGATGCCAGGAGACCAGCTTTGCCTACTTAACCCGTTCTACCTACATAGCTTGAAATAACCTAAGTTCCCCTCTCCCATCTGATTCTTTGTCTTCTACACTCCTAAGAGCCAAAAAAGCAAAAGTGAATGTGTATTCTATCATTCCATACACTGTGTTTTTTGTACTGTTAGCTCTCTGCAGGGATTTTCCAAAGAGTTGTTCACTAGTTATTGCAGTGCTCATAAAACATTTTTAATTATGTATTTGTTCCAACTATCTTGAAATGAGAACTGGTGTCACTTTCATAAACGCCAGACTTTACTATCTGTCTGATACATTAAACTTAAAAATGTGGCTCATGACTTTGAATGTAGTATTTTAATACCTTCTTGTGAGCATTTAAAAGAAAACCAGAAGTTCTGAGCCACTTCAAATCTAAGAAAACAAGAACAGGTTCCATCTCCAAACAAAAACACCCCACACGTTTTTCCTCGACGTAGCTGCAATAACTGAACTTGGAAGCTCAAGAAATTTGAGTTATAGGGCTCATACAGAGCAAGCAAACTGAAAATGAAGAAACATTTTATGAAAAATACGCAAGTTCTTCCAGTTACAGGAATTCACTCCTTAGGCCTACTCTATGGCCTCGCTCATTAGAAACACATAATCCACTGAATAAGCAACCACTTCTTTCCCCTCCTGACTTCTTAGTCCTGAGAAGATAAGAACAGAAAATATAATTTTCTTGGAATAATTTATGAAATTCTCACATGATCATTTCCAACCGAAATCCTGTTCCAACACAAAGTATGGTGACAATCCCGAACAAAAAGGGAGCGTACGTAGGGAAAACTGGAACCTGGAGAAAGATTCCAGAAAAGCAAAAGCAGCAAAATACAACAACAGATAGAAAAGCAAAATAAGATTATGCCAAGGTCTTGCAGCTTGAATTTGAATGTAATTAAAGAAAGGATGACAGAGTTGATGAAGGGATAAGAAAGGCAAACAAAGAATATCCTAGCAACAGCATTTGGGATATCGGGGCGGAGAGAAGGCCATTCATATTCATGACTCAGTTCCCCTCAGCGGCCTTCTGAGGAGCCTGGGAATCTTTTGGGATTCGGGAGAGCTGCTGCAGGAAGAACATATCCAGGTGATGCTCAGAAACTGCTTTTAGCCTTCTCATGGTAAAGGACACAAAGCCTGAGGGCAGTTAAGTCTCGCAGGCAGTAATCTAGCTGTAGAAACACTCAGTGCTAATTGTCCATGTGCATTTTGGTTTTGTACAATAACTGCAGCAGGGTCAAGCTACATAAGGGCACACAAACAGTGACACACACACCACATGTTCTCTCAGGACTTAGTCACTTTAAAACAGCTTGTATTCCAGGATAAAATAAAAAAGCTTTAACCTCACACAGTGGAGGGAGAAAGAAAGCAGATGCTGTAAGAGGTCCACACTAAGCAAGCCAGCAGGGGTATTTGAGCCCTGCGGAAGACAGACACATCCAATGTGCAGAAATGAAATGGTTTCTACAGCATCCAACTTCATAGCACAAGCTCAGTTTTTAAAGAGGGACATTAGTCCCTACAGCTGCTCTAAGAGCTACCAGCTCCCCAGCATAGGAGGCAGTAAAGGCAGTGCACAAGCTCTCAAGAACTTAAGAGCTTTCAGGGTGCCTCCTATGTTCAAAGTCAAGAAGAAAAGCAGAGCAGCAACCAATGCATACAGTAGCACTTCTGCTCTACAGAAAGCTGTTTCACACCTCTGAAGCTCACTACCCTGCTACCACCACTGCTCAGGGTACCCAAGGACAGTAATGCCCTACAAATTTCCACTGAAATTAGCAAGGCTGACATAAGCTAGGTACAAGATACAACTTCACAGTTCCTGTCATTGCACCAAAGTAAAACAATGCAGTGTGAACTCCAAAGGAGATGCACTGTAATCATCCTAATCACAGGTTAAGATTAAATTGGAGATTACACTGCATTAGGCATAAGCCAGTTAAACCAACAGAACAAGAAATCAAACTTTGTTAGCACTGCTTCTCAGAGACATGTACAAATTACCTGACGGAAAGAACCAGGTAAATATAAAGAACAGCATTCACAAGTAACTCTGCACTGTACAGCAGGTAATCAGAACGATAAGACTGACACAACTCAGAGGAAGAATGAGGCAAAGTGGTTTTACCCCCAAATAATGCTTTTAAACAATCCAGTGTTCAGCCTCACACCAACTCCTATAAACCAAAGAAAGCAAGGCCAATGAAACACCTCAGATGGTCACCTTGTCAAACATGCCTACTTAACCATTAGCCAAAAATAATGTGCAGCACTGCTCATCACATTCTTGCTTTAAATCTAAAAATCAAACAAAGATAGAGTGCATTTTTAATGCTCTTTTATTGCTTTCATGGTTTCTTCCCTTCATTTTTATTTCCTTATCTACCTGTACAGAAATACACACGGGAGACATAGGGAGGGTGTATTTCCCCCCCTCTGTGCAGCTGCATTGCCAGGCACTGATTCTGTCAGCAGCCCAGGGACAAGTCACTGAGAGCTGGTTTGGGGCAGAGATAATCCAGACAGGACAGATTCTTCCAAAACTACCTCCAATGAACTGTCTTGGTGCATTCAGCAGAAATATACAGAGTACAGTTATAATAAATGTAAAAGCTTCATAGATACGAGGAACCAGCAGTTCAGGATCACATAAAATCACCCAGAGAAATCACAGTTCTAAATATCCATTGTCATAACTGACCTGAACTTAGCGTGGCAAGCATGAGTAAAAATTCAGAATTGTTGAAATTCTTAAAGATACCCAAAAAAAGGTAACTGCACACAAAGGGAGGTACAGGAGAACATTTGATACAAATGTAAACACAAACATCAGACAAAAAAACATTTTGTTCTTTTCCAAGGAGCTGCAACCCCAAACCATAAAGGGCAGGAAAAATGAAGCAAAGAGCAGTAACAAGAAAAATATCAAGGTGGTAACATAAAGCTCTGTTAATAATTAGAGTCCAACAATTACACATCAGATGTTAACTCTGCTTCAGAAAAATTCCCTTCTTGAAAACAAGAAACTAAGCTTAAATGGTGAATAAAATAACCAATATTCTCTCACACACAGCAT